CGCTGTCACATTCATGCCTTTTAATGACTAAGTGACAATCAACAGTGGACTCTAGCTATTGATTTGTCAGCTGCTAATGCAGTGCAAGCAATCTTTTTGTTTTGTATTCATCTTGACAATATGGCTAACTATATATGGTATTTTGTCAATTTCTTTTTTGCTTGACTAGTTCATACTTTTGCCCTTCAGGGTAAAAGCACAGTATTCATGATTTGTTTTGTTTGTACCTAAAGATGCTGGCTAGTAAACACATTTTTCTTCTCATTTCTAGGTGGAAGAGGTGGTGGTGGATTTGCCAAGCCCCAGGGGAAGAAAACTAAGTTTGATGACTAAATCCTTAGTCATTTTTTACTTTTGAATGGACTCTGGTTTCATCACTTTTCAGAGCTTTTGGACATTCCAGAAAGCGTCATTGATATATATTTAACTGTTGACGGGCATTTTAGCCCTTTATTTAGACCCCACAAACCTTCACCCTTGTGTGCCAGAATGGTACTTTTTGACCTTCTCAGCTCAAGTGCTTTGTGAGTACTGAATGTCCCAAGTGCAAACCTGCACCTCTAACCCTCTGATAACTTGCTTTTCTGAAGGAGTAAAATGGAACGGGTCTGGCAAACAAGTTTGCTGTGAAAAATATGCTTGTCTTTGTCAGATACATTGTGTAAATTTAAACAGTTTGTATGATTTTCATTTTACCTTTTTGTAAAAAAAAAAAAAGATACACACCTTATTTGCTTTTTATTTTGTCGTTTTTAGTTTGCTTTAGGTGCCAACTTTTACTGTTCTGTGTAAAGCATATTTTGATAGAAGATTTGAGTCAGTGCTCATGAGTTGGGTGTTAAGGAAATGGCAAGATGTTCTGTCATGTTTGTTTGGTGGGGCCGGGTCAATGTCTGAGTCAGAGGAAGAACCTCTTCTATGTAACATAAAATATTTGTAGTGCATTGACTAATTTCTTTTCCCCATCTGAAAATCTGAAGATTTTCACATGATTTAAATAAAACCTTGTAGGTGGTGATTTTTAAATGTCTATCCTTTTTCAACCATGTCAATCTGAAACATTGAATGTGTCACAGACTTGAAATGTTAGAATATAAAAGTTGATACATTTATACTGCAACCTACCAATGCAACACATCATCTCTGAAATATATTTTACTTTGAAAAGCTTGAAACATTTCAAGTAATACCGTCACTTGCTGAGTAAACCCTAGGAGTCCTGGAGAAAAATGTTTGATTCTGTTAACCTGTATATTGTTGGAAGGTTGTTGTAGTGTCATGGATGCCCTAAATGGGGACGGATGCTCGTCCTATTGTACTCCTGAATGCGTTGTCTACAAACAACCAAAAATGTAACTTACGTCTTAAATGAGCTGAAAATGGCTAGATGACCACCCCTTATTATTCCACAAGGGGGCAGTATATATCAGGTATCGTTTTGTGTATTGACACCTGAGACAATAAAAATATCTCATAGGAAACTGCATACTGAGTACTTGTATGCAAGTGAGGCTAATTTTGTAATTGACCTTTGACTGTTCACATCCTACAGCTATCGGGGATACTGGTTAAAGGCAGTGTCCTCGGCCAATTAAATAGTTAATGTAGGAGAGTACTAAACTCCCACTTGAATGAGTTTCAAAACTACTTAAAATGTTAAAGATGTTTAACAACCTTCAGCTTGTCAAATCAGTAACCCCTTTATTGTTCACATGGCAGGCATACATGCATTTCTGTTAAATTAGCTTACAATACTCGCACAGTTCCTATGCTAAATGGAGATTAATATAGACTAACAGTGTTTCTCGAGTGGCAGTAATGTGCATACATGAATTTATCTGGGCATAAATGTTTGTTGGTGGGTAAGATGAGATGAGACCGTTCCAGTTGGTTCTGTAAAATCATACATTTCTTATTTCTCATGGGCAGCAGGCCTTGGTGTGATTAACAGTGACCCTCCGTCTGACACCAGACGGGACAGCAGTGTGCTGTCATCCCTCAGCTGAACAGGGTCTTTGTTCCTGAAGGTGCCACTGAATACCTCCATGCAGATTAGCACTCTCTGCCTTGAACAGTGACAACGTCATGCTAGCTGAGGCGTTATGTCAGACCTACCACTCCGGTTTGCTTTCCTTTGGGATCACTTGAAGGGCTGTTTCTCAATCTATTCCCCTAAACTCTGTTTATGCTTCAGCATATTATAGGAAGTAATGGGAGAGGATATGATTGAGGGTGCTGCGGTTTTACTCATTGACAAACCATAAGCATCTTCATTAGTGGACACTGAGTCAATAGGACATTGTGAAGAGGAGAGAGGACAGACTCATACTTTATCTCATGTGTAGAGTGGCTGATCTAAATAGGACCCTCTTTAAAGGGGAGCATACAGCTCCGAGTCCTCTTCACAATGGATCTTTGTCAAGTACATGGTGTCCTATAGCACAGATGAAGTTGCATTGCCTTGGCCTCTCTTCCAGTGTGATGTGTGGAGTCAGGGACTACAGTGTACTGATCTGCTGAGTGGGCACACAATGCTGATTATCTTTTTTTACTGAGATTTCTCAAATGTATGTTACCAAGCAGTACAAACTGTTTGTTTCCTCCCTGCCAGAGAACAATGCATGTGAAATCTTTATTGATGCTGTTGCTCTCTTACTCAAACAATTTAATTATTCCGGCGTCATAAAGCAGATGGGGACCAATGTTTGAACTGAAATCAAAGAGATCTTTGTTCAGCCTTATTGTATGGCATTGTTTCTAACAAACATTACAAGTCTGGAGTTGATCGGAAAACACATAGGTAAATAACATGGAGTCCTTCTTTGTTAACAATGGCTCCTGAAATGTATTCGTGTGTTTCTCTGCTGATTTAATAGCAGTGCTATGTTAAGATGCTGACTTTGAACCACTGTTATTCAATCATCATTTTGATTGTATACTGTGACAATGCTTTGCTGTAGTTTTATAATTAGCATATAGAGTGTTTACGATCTTCTCATCCAAATCTGGCAAGAAAGTAAATAACTTTGCATAAACCTTTACCAACAAATGTTTTAGTGATTATTTAGTTCAATCCAGGTTTTTCCAAATTAAGGGACAATATAAAAGCATTTGTTTTGTTTTCATAAAAAGTGCAAAAGTTCATTTAAGTATCATGTGTAATCCATCCACCAAACTACATAATATTAAGTAACGTTCGGCAATGTGGAACACCATGTTATGTCCAATTATTATCTTTACTGTTCTTTCTACACTGGGCTAAACATGATTTGTAACTTACGCAGCTGCTGGATGAGATTGTCTGCGTTGTCTGAGCTGATAGAGATGCCATAGTCAGCAGCATGTACAGTGTGGAATGTTCTTTTTTAATTTAAACCCCAGCAACAACTTTCCCATCTTCAGCCATGCCAATGATGGTGCTCCAGAGGCCTTTGAAGAAAATAGAGGGCTTGTGTGAAACCCGGCAGCCTCTGTCAGACGACCCCATTGACCACACTCGCATCAAAAAGCTTCCTCCAATTACTTTCGACAAATGTGCAGCTCTTGGTCTGCAGGCTCGCATACATTCAAATATCATCACTTGAGTGGGACATTTACACTAGACGATAGCTTTTCAGCAAGGGAAAAATCACTTGTTTGTTTACAGCCTAGCAACAATAGTGTGTCCTTTATTGTTCCTATGTTAACTGCACATCTTTTAGCTGTGGGTTTGTGTTCCTCTCTCCTTGCAGGTTTAGCAGACACAGAAGGCAGTGAGATATGAATCATTGTTTGTTCTGTTGCTCTCAGGTAGAAATGTATTTGTTTCACACACATACAGACACATTTACAATTAACACTCCTAATGTAAAAACTGCATTAAGTACACAAAGTAAAACAACATAATAGATTTTGGGTACGGAATGTTTTCACTACTCTCAATGTTAACTGACTAATTGTTTTACACAATATCATGGAGAGGATATCCTTTCTTTAAAAAAAGGGAGTTTAAAAGTGCGGCCTTAGTTCAATCTAATACAAAAATTTAAGATTTGGTTCGTGCCTATACACACACTCTTACATCACTTTAGTACGTTTTGGTTGAACCAAATCAATGTCTTAAAATATAAATGTAGGGCTTGTTAGTAATATGCTTTGCACATTGCGGACATAGTGAATTAATCAAACTTGTGAAAATACAATAGATGATTCAGCTATTTTTATTGGAAGGTTTAACGCTGTATCACTTGTTCATTGTGTTCCACACAGAGGACAGTTGAGATTCATCTGGTTAAGCTTTATCTCAAAGTGCGCCCTTCAGGAAACACAATATATCAAGAGGATCCAGTTTCGGTGAGGCTTTATTGTCTTTGTCCTGTAGGACATTGTAAAGAACAACAGGAAGGTATTTATTTTGTCTCTTTTACTTTTTAGGCCAACTTAAAGCTCTTAATTTCCTCACGGTTTACCGTCAGCCTCATTCTCAGGGGTTCTTCTCAGTGAAAAAGACACAATAGTTGACGGAGATGCTTAACATAAACTATGTGAAATGTCACACCCAGTCGGGAGGATGGACAGATACTTTCGGAAAACTAACACAATAGACTGTGTTGAAGAGAATCTACCATATATAAAAAAAGAAGATTATTAGATGAAGTTCATTGTCTTTCAATGTTATTCTTTGTTTGCACTAAAAAGGATGTTCTGCTATAATCCAGCAATGGCGTCACACTCAGTGTAGGAATAATGCAAGTCACACATCTTCGCTATCTCATCACAGGCAGACTAAGAAGACATGCGTGCGTGTTAAGTTGCTGAACATTGATAAAAATGAGCACTTAATATATTGTTAGACTACACCATTGTGATTTTCATAACCGAGCAATTTTTTTATTGTTAAGTAGTGTAACAGATACCCGACAACACTTTTGTTGTGTGACCTGATGTGGATTTTTACATAGATATTCAATGCCGATACACCAAACACAAAAACAGCCAATTTAGGACAGATTTTCAAAGAGAACATTTTAACATTTTAATTTACAAATGACATTCTTTGTACATTTTGATTTTTTACATATATTTACATCACCATCACCCACTATACCCACAACATTCAGTTTTATAATCATCAAACATCACATTATTATGCTCATTGGAGGCTTTAAATTAAATGCAAGAACCCCTTATTTTCCTCCTTTTTATTGAGGATTAAATTAATATGTCGTTTCTCGTACCAGCATTAGTTTTAGTTCACAGTGTCATTGTAAACCCTTAACCAAATCCATGTCAAGTATATCAGCACATTCAAATCCACAGACAGCAAACATGTAACAAGTTTAGACATCTAATTTTAAAGGTTTCCAGTAGTAGTAGTAGTAGTAGTAGTAGATCAAGTCAGTCACATTCCAAAATAATAGTGCAAGGACCTCTACAGTACATCATTGATCAAAAACACACTTTAGGGAACATGTGCTTCATATTAAGATAACAGGGTTACAGTAGAAAAGCCCAAACTAATTATGATTTTTTTTAAATTGACCGAATCACTGAGGTAGAGAGAATCGTCTCTTACTTGATTTGAAGCCACTGCAGAATTACACATTGACTCAAGTGAAGGAAATGTATAACACTTAATACAAACCCAAAATGCAAGCATAACTAAACGCTGTGCAGTAAGTGCAATGGCTTTCAAACCCCAGCATCCAGGGCACCTGCCTTTTTATTCTCAAGATCACACTGGCCAACTAAACATTATTTCCCTCTGACCTATCAGAAAGCACATTTTTGCTACAAATACATATTCATGGTTTATTTACCACTTGTCCTCATACTACACTTTTTTTGGTTACATTTTAGGTATTAATATAAGTCGGATCGCTACCATTGGTGATTTGGCAATGAAAAACCTCAACCATATCTAACCAGAAGGAAGGAGAAAAAAAGGTGTTGGCCACTGACGAGGGGAGGACTGTGATAAGGCGGAGAACCTCACAAATATTACATAATGAAATAAAAAGCCTGTAGTTGCCAAGCAATAACTGTCCTCCTCAGCAAGACCGTTGAGGAAGCAGTTAAACTTTGGTTGTCTCTGAAATAATTAAGTCCTTCAGAATGCCAATATAAATACACAATTCTACAACGTTTTAAAATCTCTGTATAATTTACTTGACTTTTGAGGAATATCCTCAAAAAATTGCACTACTGAACAGAAACAGCTAATTCTGATATGGTCCATGGTCCTTCCCCACATAAGGGAGAGTTTACTGGGACTCTCGTGCATCACGGTGTCCACCAAGGTACAGCTCAGCGTGTTGGTGCTGTCCTGACCTGGTGCTCCCATCAAGCTATAGGATCTCCACTTTCTGTGAGCACACCAGGTCACTGTTGACCATATGCCACATGTGCATTAGGTCCGACGGGAGCAGCTTGTGTACCACAATCATGCTCTTAAAGAAACAAGGTTCTCTGTTCAATTTGCTGCTCTTATTTTTCACCAAGCCAAACGTCTTAAAGGCATTGTGTTTTATAGGAGTGACCTGAAGCACCTCCAGACACATGCCCAAGAAGACATCATCGATGGGGTAAAGCTCAAGGGTGTCTGCCACCAAGTAAAGCCTCCTCGCCAGATTCCCATCCATCAGAAACCCCCCTCCACCTGCATACGGAGGGTAGTGTGTCTTATTATACAGAGCCAGGGGGATGTAGTATTTGTTTTCCTTTTTACGGATGGGCTTCGCCTTGACAATCACATCGCCCACAAACAGGTTCTTTGCCTGGTTGCTGCCCTCTAAAAACTCAAAGATGTTGTCCACGCTGACAAAGACGTCGTCATCCCCCTTGAAGACGTAGCGTACACTGGGGCAGTAGGTGTGGAACCATTTGAGGAAGTGAGTCTCCTTTAGCGTGAGGTTGAAGAAACTATCTAGGAAGTCCCACTGGAGGATATCCCCATAGATGTAGTCCTCGTACTCCACTAGCTTCTGGTGGTTTGCTCTCTCTGCCACACTGGAGGGTTTACCAAGAAGGAAAAGGGTCTTTACTCTCTTGCCATCAATCACCTGCTCTTTGCCCCAGGTTTTTCTGATGACCTCTCTTCTGTCATGCTGGGTGGCAACAGACTTTATTATCATGAGTAAATATGTGTCGCCTGTGCACTTCTCTGGGTGGTTGAGGAGCATGGGGAAGTAACGGCAGTGTCGATAAAGCATGAATTGCTTGAAATTCTCCTCCAGGCTATTAAACCAGTTCTGACTTGAGAGGTTGAGGTTGATGCTACAGTTGGAGTTGGTAACATCCCAGGTTCTCGGGCTGCTGTCCTCAGTGATCCGGGACTTTTGTGTGGTGGCCCGTTTTTTAGGCATCAGCTGGTGTTTGCTAGCCTTCCAGAAACCTTTCATTCCCAGGTTCAAGTCACTTTTGTCCTCCCCAGCAGCTCCATGCTCCGCCCCCTCTGAGGCATCTGTCCGAGCCTGCCTTTCAATTTGGAAGGGAGCCCCCATGTTGATGCTTCCTCTTTGGACAACAGTCAGCGCGACCACAGCCAGGAAAAACATGACACCCACCCTCTTGTACACCTTCCAGCGGTCTCTGTTGTTCATCCTGTGGGAAGACAAAGACCACAGCCAGTCAGAGTTAGGGCAAAAACATCTAGATAATCAGAAAGAGCCATTTACTGTTTTTAATCCCAAACTAATTGAACTGCAGTGGTGGATAGTACCTGAGTACCTTTACACAAGTTCTGTCTTAGGTACAATTTTGAGGTACTATTTCCATTTTATTCAACTTAAGACTTGCCACTGAATTGTAGTAATATTATACATTTCATTACAATGTGTGTGGTGTAGAGGATGCCATTAAGCATGAAACTTGCAATAAGGAATCAAATATGAATCTGAAAACTCTGAAAGTCAAAATGTTGTATTGTGTTGTTTAAAAATTATTATGAACTTTCTTTTCATTATTGAAGGAATGAAAACCGGTTGTTATTTTTTGCAAATAACTGCTCCATAAGAAAATACTTTAATTTGGGGTTTGTGTGAAATGTTTTCAGTACACTAACAAAAAACAGTTTAAAACAATATCAATGTATACTCAAAACATACTTCTTGCTGTTTCATGTAGCCAGCAAAGCAAAGAACAGCCTGAGGGCAGGTTTACATCATAATATGATCAGCATGTACTTAAATAGGATTTGCATAAAAGACAGTGCTTCTCCCTAAGACTTTACTATGTTTGCTCTAAACAAAAGACATGCAGCAGAGGTGTATCATCCCCTCCATTTTTAAACATAACACAAGTAAAGTAACACTTGTCACTATTTATTTAACCAGTGTAACTTCTGGAAGAACACGTGGAATGTACTTAGAACGTGAAGTAACCCCTGGAGCTTCAGAATTCTCACATTTACAACAAGTCGTGCCAGGGCTCGTTATGCTCACGACCCCAGAGACTCCCATGTGGGGTGAATAGGAGAGTAACCCCCCACCAAAAACAGAAAAAACACAAACAAACAAGGTCAATCAAGGCTAATTATGGACGCAGAGCCTACATGGCAGTCAATTCGTTTTTAAAAAATTAAATCGTATAGTTATCTTTGTTGATAATGAAAGTTCACTTGTAAGTGTTCTGGACTCACATGTTGACACGAAAGCACACAATATGCCACACTTCAATTATCTTAAAGTTGATAATTGTGTCGGGACTTTACAATTAATAAAGGATACTGGTAAAAATCAGCATTACCTCTATTATGTTTGCGATCTATAGTATACTGCTTTGTTTTCATAAAACAATCTGTTAAAATTGGCAATTAAATATTTAACTTATAAACTATTTGTTTAAAAGTTAAAATATGTTTGTTTCATGTTCTTTTTTAAATGCACAGTCTTGCTGAATTACACTACGCTAAAAGATTCAACATTTTCAGTTGTTGCCTTTAGGTGCATAAAACCAACAGATAAAGATGGTGTTAAATTGTCAATCTTGCCTAAAATGATGAAGACGACACTCACATTTTGTTCCTGCTTGCGACGATCCGTGGCTTGGAGACAATAAACCGATAAAAACCCGATTATTGAGCCCAGGAAAGTGGAATGGCTTGAGTTTGTGTCTCTCCGGTTGATGGGAAAAAGTTATAAAATAATCCTTTCCATCGCGACGGTCTTGGTTGGTGCAAATGGTGACAGATGCACGGAGCTGGTGGAGGTGGATGTGGTGCCGTGTGCTCGGGACTGCGTCCTCTCTTCCTCCCTCAGAAGTGCTTTTAAGGGTGGCTGCAGTTACGTGGAAGACCACTACACACAGGATGTAGATGATGAATGAGCTGCAGGGAAATCAAGGGTCCGCCCCTCATGTACACACAGGATTTACTTCACATAGTAGGCTACTCCATCACAGCTTAACAAAAAGCCCTGTGGTAGTTATTGGATTTTATTTTTTCCGTTACATTAGTAAAGGTCTGTGGGGTGGAATAACTTATCCACCAGGTTGCATGTTGGCTTTATACTCGTGCTTACTGGATTCCTACTGGAAAACTAAAGTCTAACCAGAAGTGAAAAGTAACTAAGTGTATTTACTCAAGTAGCCTACTGTACCTAAGGACAATTTTGAGATACTTGTTTACTTGAGTATTTCCATGTTATGCTACTTGTACACCACTACAATTCAGAGGTAAATTGGGTGCTTTTAGTCCACTATGTATTTTGTACCTTTAGTTACTTTACATATTTGGATTAATATTGTGAAATATAACACTTAAATAAGACTTTAGTTACACCTGGAGTAAATTTCACATGCTACCCTGCAGTATACAAATAATTAAAACTAACTAAAACGTTTTCCAACTTCTAAAAAGCTGAGACGACATTAAGGTAGATTTAGTTCCCCACCCCCCATGTTAATTTATTTGTTCACATTTTCTAATCTGAATAACATTTTAAGAATGTGAACTTCTCCGTAGGTAATTATACCCCTATCATCATCAGCAGCAGCTTTATTGAAGAGACTCAAGACATACAACACTCAAATATAAATTATATATATTTATATATTCCATTAGAGGACGACTTTAATATCCCTACCGAGTTATTATAAATCTTTTAAACTTTTTTCCATAGACCTCCACTGTGATTGTTCTCCCTCAGTCAGCTGTTTCCTGTTGATGTATAAAACAGGTGGATTGGAAAATAATCCATTACAAGTGAATATCTTTCATCACATTTTTACTTAAACTACAAAAGTGTAATAAGAGGAATGCACAAAAAGTAGCCAAAAAAATACCTATATGTCAAAATGTCTTCAGTTCATTCCCAGTTATATTATTAAGATTCGTGTATCATTGGATTTGTGACTTTAATGTGTAAGCATCAGGGGTGTAGCATATTGAGGCAGAGCTAAATTGAGCAGATTGAAAAAAGCTGAATACTAAACATAATAATGTATTATATGTAACTTCTTCTGTAACTAATAAGCACAGTTGTCAGATAGCTGCAGAGGAGTAAACAAGGACAATATTTCCCCATGAAATTATGTGTAGTAGAAGTAAGAAGTAGCAGAGAATGGAAGTATTCAATTACAGTCTGGAGGTATTTGTGCGTAAATCAGATTCTCTCCACTACTGTTGAACATTGACCTCTTCAGAGCATCTTCAGAGAGGTTCAGATATACAAATCAATCAACAATTTGATCCCTAATTGATTACATAACATTGAAACTTGTCATGGTCATAGTGCTTGTCTTGCCTCTTATAAGTGTATCAGTCTTGCAGCATTTGAACCAAAAGCCAAGGTTGTCAGGCAGTGTTGCTCTGTGTCTTTTATATGTGAGTAGGTAGGGAATTGTTTGCTAATATGAGAACAGTACAATCGCAATATACAGTAGACTTGTTTACTGGGTTTTCAGCCCTCAAGTTGCCTCGTTAAAGTTAAATAAGGACGATAGGAACAAATCATTTAAGCAAATAATAAAAGGAGGAGTCATAAGTGATGTTAAAGTTTCAGTGTGTGTCAGTTCTCTAAGCAGTTGGATTATGAATTTCCTAGGTTCATATAAACCTTTTGCCCGCAGGGATTTTAACTAGCTAACAGAGCCACAATGATTCACTCATCTATTAGTAATATGATTCTGTTCTTACCATATGAACCTTCCGGTATGCTACTGACGTCAGAGAGAGGTCCTGGAGCAGGCTCAACAGGGTTTTATCAGCTCCCTGGCCTTTCATATCCATTGTGTAACTAAATATTTCATATATTTGTTAGGCTATACAAATGACACGTCAATTGACATTTTGTTATAGCCTGGGAGCTGTTCAAACCAGGTATGGCTTTTTTTTTGTGAAACATGAATCCCACTTTTTGCAGACAATTTCTGGAAAACAAAAGCAAGTTATGCTTTCTCTAAAGGGATACAATCTGGTGAATGACAAAGATATTTAATGACCCCAATATGATTTGTCTGTGCTTGTACGCACCAAGTACTAACCACGATGCGTGAGTTAATAAATCTGAATCTGACATTAAATGGTTTTCTTTTTTACTCTTAAGGCCTCTCAGACATGGAAGCAAGAGGAAGACTGATGATGGGTGAAATGCTGATTTCACAGCTATCACCATTACTACCGCACTTAACCCTTGCTGTGGCAAATTGTGCTCTTACCCCTTCATTATGGTCTATGGAAGAAACAACAACATGTCTCTCCGTCATTCAAAACAGGAATTTTTAAATCCGAACATAGCTGCGTTCCAAAATCTCTCCTTCCTTTCCTCCTCTCTCCATTTCCTGGATCCAGCCAGCCATCCTTTTCAGGGCCATGTGCATCCTGTTGCCTGCTGGCGGTGTTTTTTCCCGTTTTGTTTTTTTCCCTCTCTGTGGGTTCAGGCTCTGAGAGTTCTGTAGATGAGGGAAGTGGTGATAGACACCACAGTCCCTCATCTTTTCCCCGGCTTGAAAGGCAGCGTTTGTCACTGACGGCCACCAGAGCCATTAGCCAAAAAAGAAACTGAGCCCTATCAGATCATTGTGACTTACTGCAAAATGAAACTAATGCCAGGATATGAACTTGTAACTGCAATTTGATTTACTTTAATAATTAACTTAAAATTCAACTTCTACAAATAAATAAATAATGACATTGCAGAGTTTTTAACTTTAAAGCTGTGCATATCGTCCCTTCTTTACAAATGAAAACTTGTAAGGTCAAGGGGTCACTTGTAGTGTTGCACCTAGAAAAAATTGTCCTCTAGTGTTATAGAGTTTTTCAGCTCATTGTTTTGATTTGTTGGTCCTCAACTCATCTGTTTTGGTTCACCTAACCCTAATCCTAACCCGAACATCTCTTGTCCATCTTGTTTCAAACAACAGCAGGCAACTCTTAGCAGCAACAACTAACGTGTCATTTTCAACAACTATAGTGCTACTGTTGGTATATCAAATACCTCTTATCTGTAGCATTGTTTTAACATCATTGAGTAAAAAGTATTGTTCTCAAAACGTCCACAGATCAACACTAAGAGTGAAAGATAGATAAACAGTAGTTTATCGAATTGTTTACCCATTACTCTCATTCTTAACTACCTGCATGCTGGGAAGTGATAGAGTTGTTCAATCTTTATCGGCAACAGGTGAAATGACCCACCCTCGTCCTTCCCTGCATCACTCCATTAGCGACCATTTCCTTCTCACCTCCCTTTCATCTTTTGTAGTTTATCGAAGAACGAGGAAGTATGTGAGCTGCAGTGTTTGTGTTAATAACAAAAAACGACTGTCAATAAGATATGGAAAACTTTTGCCGGTACTTCTGACACAGGAAGTTAGTGCTAATCCTTTGTTGGGTTTAACACACCTGAGGGATTTGGGCAAGGATTACCTTTCACTCTGTGCAACTTTTGTCAAGTGTACTTAGAATGAACGAGCCTCAGAAAATCCATGGTCTCTTCCTTCTTGGGATGAGCGGGGGCCCCTGGTTGCTAACTCCTCAGTCACCATGAAAGAATTTACTGCTGGGGAAGAGAACGTGGCTCGAGGGGATCTTTGTCTTTCCCCTCCTTCTTTTCCACTCAGCCGTCAACTGAGGATGTTTAAGGTTGATAGAACAAAGGCATGTGATCGGACTGTTATGAAGGCCCCTGTCAGCTGTGGCTATAGGTAAACACCTGCCCCCCCCCCCCACCCCCCCCTCTAACCATGCAGAGGCCCCTACGGGTTTAGTCAACAATCTAATAAGGTCACCAGCACCCACTGGAGGACATGGTTGAAGTACTCCTTATCACTTAAAATTGAAAGTTCTTCACGCTTTGCTGATTTCTGCCAAATGAAGTTCCTGGTAGTGCCTTGGTAGTGTTAACCTTCCTGTACAGTTAGTGATTTAGTGACCTTCTGATTTTTACTAACGACTGCAGTGTCCCCGTGGTAAAGTCACACGAATGATATCAATGATTATATGATTTTATTTTGGAAAATGTGTGTAATTAGCATCTTGCAGCAACAGAACAATTTGAGAATAGGACGGTACATTCTTAACTCAAGGTCAACTTACTCACTTTTGGCTGAGCATTTGACCATATCTTATGGTCCTCATAAGCCCTGGGTTGTTGTTTTAAAACGCGGTTGATCAAGAATAAACTACCAAGCCTAGCGATAACCCTCGTGTGGCGTTCTCTTCATTACTCCCCCCTGCTGCTGGAGGGCTGAACACAGCCAAATGGTATTTGTTCCTTTGGGACAAGTACGCTTTGTGTGTGTATTTTTACCTCTATGAGTACATTTTTCAAGACAAATTCTTAATCAGAGTTGCTTTTAGAAATGTACATTCTTCTTTTTCTTCCCTAAACTTTACTCCGATACAGAGAATTCCTAAAAGTGCTAAAGGTCAAAGGAGAGTTGGTGAAAACAGTGTTGTTCAACTGCCTTTGTGTTTCGAATCGAAGAAATGTTTGGGATTGGCAATTTTCTTTTTCTTTGCTCATGAGATAAGGTTCTCATGAAAGGTTCTACATCTCGAGGTCTGTGACACCTGGGCAGACTTAATATGATGATGAAAACCATTTGATACAGTCCAAAGCAAATAGCTGATTTTCAAGTTGAGTTAATTAACGGTTGTTTTCTATTAAAATAATTAGCTATTCTAGAGAGGTTGGTGTCATCCAGACCAATATCCAGGCCAGAGGAAGGCAACTGGGCTCGCTGTTCAGATTCAGATTCAGATTCAGATGTTATCCCCTTCCTGTTCCATAACCCAAAGTCAGAAACTGGCATTAACTGGGTCTCACAAAACATTGTTTGGATTTGCTCTAGTGTACACACAAAAAAAGAGTAGAAGCTTTCATGCTAAAGGTTAATGGACAGTTTGTGTGGACATTCCTGAGAAGGTCAAAAATGTAAAAGGTGAATTCCAAATAAGCTTTTGCTTTAGTCTATTTGATAGGTGGCCTCTTAAACCTTTAACAATACTGTCTTTTGGAAAATATCCTAAGCTTTGACAATAATACCTTCTGTCAATATGTAATGTTTTTTAACTAGCCTCAGGGGAAAACACAGCTTCGACTGTTTACGACAAAAAAGGGCAGTAGTGGGGGTCACCTCTATCTGTGTGTTCAAAAGGACCGGTCAGGAGGAAACAGGAGGTTCAGTACACAGAGACACTGAAACGCTGTCTCTTCTTAGTTGGCGTCACCTTTTATCAGTGGAGCACATGGTATATCTACTGATAAACGAAACTGAGAGTGGTGCCAGTGATCTTGGTGACAGTGAGGGCTCTTCAGTGGAAGATGCTTCTGTCTTTGGAGATTGGAGTGTTGTCAAGTGTCTACTAACTGGGAATTACTTTTGGATTCTTTGCCATCATTCCCACTGTTATGTTCACATTTTCTCACGGCAAGTTCACTTAACAAGTTCATAAACAGGCGTCTGGGTTAAGTGTTTTAACTCTTATTACAAGTAAGGTCAAGGTTGAAGGTCGTATAATTACACTTCTTCGCTGTTACAATTTATACCTACGGTCTTTATTGGGAAATAAGTGAGTAAATTAGTCAACTGTTATGATGCCATTTGAGAGTGATGGGCAAAACCACGGACCAATTCTTTAAATGTATTTCTTCCAGAGTAGCTTTGTTGTGTAAGATTTGTTGCAAGTACAAAACTGAAATAATGGAACTTTTAAAATTGATTTTGACAAGAGCCTTCTTCAATACCTATAGCTGAGAAATTAGGCCCTTATCATGTGAGCTTTCAATTGCAATTAGTCAGGAGCTTTTAGGGCTCTGGGCTGTTACCCACTTTGTCTGATTTATAACTCTGCCTTGAAGACAATACAACTTGTTCAGATACAAGCTGGAGGGAAAATACTTTTCTGCACTGTGTGCTGTAAAGGCTCACATCTGAATCCCCTCAGTGCCTTAAAAAAAGCTGTGTAAAATGTTTGATAATTTTCCTTTATCCACACGTTTGTTTTGATAGAAAACAGCAGCTTCCTCTCAGTTGAAGTGACAGCTGGAGCTCCGGGTTACACGGCCACCTGCTGCAAGTGCGTCAGTCTGTCATGAAGGTCCTGTTTCCTCACATTGTGCCGCTGCTCACTGGCAGAGTCCACCATATTAATTGTTGAATATGTCATGTCTCCAGGGACCAAATGTGAGTGTTAGTCAGACCTGCAGAGCTAAACTAGCTCTATCAGTCCTGTAGACTTTTCATATCGAAGGGAAAGTCGACATTGCATGTATGTGTATTTTATATATATATATGAAGTGTTTTCTTGGCTGGATGTTAACAAGTATTTTTGGGTAGTAACAATTTAGTCACTGGAACTCTACTTGTAGTTATGCCACTTGATATAAATATATAGTATTAAAATGTGATGGATTAGGGCTTGTATTTAAGAGCTGGAATTGAACGTGGGTTACTGTGATAAAGGACCAACTTTGATATATATCAAAGCCACACATTACCAGGTGAGCCAACAAGGTTTCTCAACTCATTCATTTTTATTATTTACACCTGTGCGTAGCCTGTGTGTGACATGTAATGCCATTGAAAAGGACTATTTGCTTGTTAACACTGATGACACACATAGGAGGGCAGGTCCAATCGTAATTTGCCACAAATGCAACACACCTGCAGTATAGGCAAACACAGATGTTTGTTTAGTTAGGCCTTGTGAGGACAATACAAAAAGGAAGTATTCTTTGAGGTTTTGGTCTGGGTTAGGGTTTGAAGGTTTCAAACCAACCTTAAAAAAAAAAGATAGTGTGGTAAACCCCTGGAATCATTATACAAACAAACACCTAAAATTGTAGATAAGAAATCAGTTTATTCTCATCATTGCCCAATACTCACAAAATATAACTTGTTGAGCTGGGAAAATGTAATGAGATATGCAAATGCTTGCCTCATGTACAAAATAATACACGGCCTTACCTCACCTCCGCTAAGACATTTTATCACCATACGCACACCTGTAACTAGGTCAACAAGAGCTGCAACAAGAGGAGACTGCGTTGTTCCATTAAGGAAGAGTTCATTCAAATTCCAATCTTCTTTTTCTTTTAAAGCTGCACAACAGTGGAACTCAATCCCAGTAAAGATTAGAGAACAAAACACCTGCAATTTAAAAACATGGTTAGTGGAAAATCAGCTGTCAACACTGACACAATCTGCACTTTACAACGCTCTGTTTGTACATGTGCCTTGACCTGTTGCTATCTGTCTGCTTTGTGAATATGTATTTTAGTTTTGTTTTTATGTTTTTATATATGCTTTTATCATAATATAAGCATCTATGTTGAATGTTGTTTTACTGATTGTATTTACCTGTCATTTGAAGTGAATTTTTTTTTAGGATGACTTTCAACATCTGTCCAGGGACTACAGATGAAAAATAGCCTGTTGGCTAACTCTGGCGCATTTACAGAAATATCAATCAATGTGCACTGTCCCTGTCAAATAAATAAATAAATAAATAAAATAAAATAAATGGTGAATAGTAAAGAGCTACTCTGGCAGCTCTGGAAGAGAGAGAGAGACAGGCCTTAACTGAACATCCTGGCTCGTTCCTTCGATTACACATCTTTCTCATTCACTCTTTATCTTTTCTGGAAATGTATCAGTGATAAATATACACTGTAATTTGAGAGATCGTTTTTATTATTCATCTTTTCAACTATAAAAATCCCATTATTCCACTCAGATCTTAGACTACATTCGCGACAGTTTGCCTACTATGAACAGCAGTTGGATTTCACAAGCTTTCCCGAACCCAAACTTTATAAAACCCTAAGCAGGTACAATCTTTGCAGCCTATGTGTCTAGCCCTGTCACCTGTACAATATTCTGTCATCTGAAAGCACTCTCTGTTGCCCAATGACAAATTAAACCTTTTCCACCCTTTGTCAGAGCAGCCAATGCAAGTATCGAGTAGTCATACGACAGCTGATCTTAGAATATAACTTGAATACTTGTGATTATTATCGGGACTTTACTTCAGCGTGTTTTCAGAACATTTGTAAGAGTGCAGCTGTCAGGTGAGTTAGCGAGTGTAACATAGCTTTCAGTGTACAACACGATACGGGAGCAGACATCTTCCTGCTGTGGGACTTCTCGACGAGTTGAACACAAATACTTTCTTCTTTGCACAGTGAAGCACAAAGGGCAGCACACAACACTGCATGGGCACAATATGCCAACTACTGGCTGGCAGTCATTATGTAAAGGAGGTGATTTATAGTTCTAGCCTGCGCTTTGGATCAGCTGCAGTGAGGATGTAGAACAGAGCTTTTAGAAAATGCTTCAAAAACTGAGAAAATCCACATCAATCAACGAGGCAAGACATGTTGGTTTCGAAGACAAAACAGATGGTCAAACATTTATTTAAAACCACTTAAAAAGTACTTACTTTCCAAATGAATTATATCAACAATGTAGCGGTTTACATAAATAAACTGTACATTACCACGCCTGGAAAACACAGTGCAAATGTACAATGCTGGATTCAAGACACAATTCAAGTCTTTTGGTCAGATAGTGTATAGAGGGTAGTGTATGTTAATTGCAATAAGCACTTCTAAATATATTTTTAAACATGCACTAGCCTGACAACTTGTCAGGCTGAACATTTCCTGGAACATAAGTTAGACAAGAGCAGCTACTCTGATACGAGAAATATTTGAAGTAAAGCCAGTACGATTATTTATTTATGTGGACGGATATTTTCCACCACATTAAAAAATCAATATATACAGGACATAGTGAAATCAAGATGAGAACTTATATCTGTACAATCGATTCAAAGACATAAAAAGTCATTTGCCATTCGTCATGTTAAACACATTTCCCTTTTTGACAATCAAGAGTTTAGCAAACATTTTATCTGTATGCCAAGTCATGTTATATTTTCTTAACCCCTAATCCATCATTTACATATAGTGAAAACCAGGTAAAACAATACTATGCTTAAGTAAGAACACTTCAGCTTGTATTCAGACTCAAGCACAGCTATGATCGAATATTTAAATCTTTAAGCTCCTCAGCTCCGAGCTATACTTACTCCTTAGAATACACACATTCCTCTAAACGTGAATTTTGTCCTGCCTGGATGTGTTTCACATATTTAAGTGTGCCAAATATAACCTTGATGAGAGAGTAGAGAGAATCAGTGCCAGCTAAGACTGCAAGGTGCACAGGGTTGGACGGCTGGGGATTGTGGTTATTGTTTATATTATGTTACAGAAGAAGTCTGTGCTGAAGCCAAAAGGGGGGGAGGGGGAGACAAAATGGAGAGCCACAATCCTTCACATTGTTCAAGCGCCTCCTCCTGCTGCTGCTGATCCTGGACCATCTCTGTTGCCCTGACCTCGATCACAACCTGAGGGGATGATGTTACAGGAAGCCTGATGTTCCCGGACAGATAACGCTCCTCCATGGTGACAGCTCCCTCTTCACCTCCTCTTCGACTGGCTGCCTGAAGGAGGAGAGAGAAGAGGGAGGGAAGGGTGTACGGTTAGGAAAGAGGAGATTAACTTATCAATAAAAAACAAAATTGAAGATGGCCTCCTGACATGTTTTAGGACATATAAAAAGAATCTGCTTGGATGTTTTTTTGGTTGATGTGTTTTCCCCCCTTTATCAGATTAATGTTACAAGTGCCCTCCAGTGCCAAACACACACCATGGGAGGTTCACAAATTGAATCGGGGGAATTATAAAATAAAAAGGGCAGACCCCCGGGCCAGACACCCTATCCCGCAATGTTAACAAGAGAGAGAATAAATATATGTTTGTATCCATTCCGAGAATCAGACACCCAATTTTTCATGACAACCAGGACAATAGTTTTACTGTAATCCTGCTGCAAGAAAAACACAACACAAAGAACAGAACCTGAGTGAATGGGGACTTACAAGTGACATTGTTGGATGGAAAAACAATTGTGGCAGGAATGTTTTCCCCTAACTACTGTATGTTTACTAAGAAATGTTTTATTTGATTTCATCTTGATCTAACTTAAAATCAAATTAGCTACTTCTGAAAAGGTAAATATTTTGTATCTGTTACATTTATTCCTGCCTACTTACGATACGATACGATATACTTTATTGTCCCTGTAAGGAAATTTGTTCTGGACTCCGTCCTGCAGTGCATACATGTACATATACAAACATAGTGGACATTAAGAGACATACACATATCATCAGTCATACACCGTTTGAACAAACACAATACACAGACGCACATACTGACAATGGCGACCTATTGCACAACCCTCATGGCCAACATTTAAAAAGTACATTTCATTACATTTGACTACATATTATTTCATGTGAATGTTAAGAAGCTTAATGGACATAGGTAGGAATGAGTGCTTATATCGGTTCAGCCTGCTCCTGGGAACCCTGAATCTTCTACCAGAAGGTAGGAGCTGGAATTCTGGGTGGAGTATGTGGGTGGGATCAGACACAATACTTAGTTATCATTTTTATAATTTGGGATCAGAGATAGTGCTGCACTTCCTACAATTTCCCCGGCAACATAACGGGGATCTGTCATCATGTGAAGCCGTGTCAACATGACTTGGGAAGGTTAATGCCTTTTTTTTCCATCGTCAACATGGCGAAGCCGGCATGGCTCCCCACCTCCTTTGTGCAGGCTGAGTGGGTGGTCAGCTACAGAAACCTCTCCTCTATCGGTCCTCAGCCAAAGCATCGTCTCTGTCAGCCACAACTGATGTGTTTACCAAATGTGGGCCTAAAGCAGGGGTGTCCAAACTACGTCCCGGGGGCCAAATGCGGCCCGCGAGCCAAATGCGGCCCGCGAGCCATTTTAAATCGGCCCTCAGCAAATCAAAAAGTATAATGAAATATGGCCCATAAATGAAACTTGTGCTTGTCTTGTATTGTATTGTACTTCTTAAATATAGATGAAAACACATATGACACAGTAGTATTCATGTGTTAAGAAGCCCACTTTTCAAAGCTGAAAAAAAAATGTTAGTTGATAAATATAATAACTTATTTAAATAACAAGCTTCAAATAAACTCTTCCTAGTTCCTCTCATGATAAGCAATCTGAGTCTCCTGTTTTAAGGAATGTCCTGCTAACAAAATAATGTAAACCCTATGGAGAGCTGTGATATAGGCTGTTTTTTTTTGTATTAAGCATAATTGACCTACATTTGATTGATTCTGCTAACTTATGAGGCAATATACCTCACCTCTAGTGAGTGGCCCAGACCTTCGTATATTTTTCTGTATGTGGTCCTTAGGGAAAAAAGTTTGGACACCCCTGGCCTAAAGGGAAGCCTGTCTCAGTGTGTGGTTGGCTGCCAAACTCCACCAAGCAGCTATCATAAGGCATAATAACGGCTAAATTACAGATTTGATTCAAGTGAAAAGAAACTGAAAAGACAGTGGCTCAGAAAAAAAAAGTATGAGGCTAGCTCAAAGGGAAGGAACGAATAAAAGCTACTTATTTGGTTTGCCATGTCATGTGCGCCTGCTTATTGCCTTCAAGCGGAGCTACGATGAACTGACTTCCTTATGATAGTCGATAGAGGTCTGACACTTGCCAGACCGCACGCACGCGCGCGCGCACACACACACACACACACACACACACACACACACACACACACACACACACACACACACACACACACACACACACACACACACACACACACACACACACACACACACACACACACACACACACACACACACACACACACACACACACACACACACACACACACACACACACACACACACACCACACACACACACACACACACACACACACACACACACACACACACACACACACACACACACACCACACCACACACACACACACACACACACACACACACACACACACACACACACACACACACACACCACACACACACACACACACACACACACACACACACACACACACACACATCACACACACACACACACACACACACACACACACACACACACACACACACACACAGGGGTGTGGTGGCTAAGACAAAGCATTAGGCCGTATTACAGGCTTAATGGTAAGGACACTCTGTGTAAGAGCCGGAGGTTCTCGCTCATCAAATACAGTTAAGATGCATGAGAGCATGGAGAGATGTTATCACCCAACTAAAGGCACCAGAGCTACTGGGCAGGCCATCCATCCTCTAAGTTCTATTTTAATATGTGAAGTTGACAAAGAAGAAAATGTATGTGGCTAAGGGAAGGGGCCTCGAAAAAAATTATATATTTTTTTTTAGTTGTTCTAAAAGCAAAGTTATATGATGCCAACAAAAACACACCTTTCACGCGCTCTCACCTGCCATGTTTGCTATTTAAAACACAATGTTCAAATATATCTAAGAAGCAGCTAAACACAACAACACATGGTCTGTCAAACGTAGGGTAACTGTGGTTGAGGCAACTGTGAGTGAATGTATGAATAAATACTTTAAAATGTTTAAGCCAATTTTTGGCAACTGAGAAAGGCCTTTTAAAAGCTATCAAACAATGTTGGCACGTTTTGGTACACAAGTCCAGTAAGAAGGTCAGAAAATGCTAAAAATTACTTTGTGTAACTTAAGACATGAGCTTCAGGGAAATTGGAGTATGATTTGTTATTTTGCAGTAAATCCTAGTCAAAAAGGAGAGAGAACAATTCTGGTCAAACTTGTTTGTATAAAGTTGGAAAAAAACAATATTTGTCGGAAGTAAAATTGAGTAAAACATACAGAGACAGAATTCAACTCAGACCATGTTAGATGTAGACGTGTTTTTCAAGCCAACTTCATTTTCTATATCATAATACAGCAACCAGCCGGACACACTTGCATATCTTGAAACTTAGCCATATGCTTACTTCCACTCTGTTGTCCCCCTCCTTCTGTGGCGCTCACGGAGCCGGGCCGGCTGCTCTGCTGTGGCTCTGAGTGGGAGAACTGGGGGGCCAGAGCGGGGCCCCGAGCCCGCAGAGCGCTGCTGTTCTGTCGGGCTGGAGGTTCAGAGGTTCGGGGAACTTTGGGCTGGCTTGAATATGCAGAGCCATACTCACCACTGAACACAGGGAAAGGAAGAGGAAGAAATAAAAGATTAGTTTTTCTTTGTAGCTATAATCAAATATAACAACAATAACTCCATCTTTTTCACAAATCAAAATAAACACCATGAAAAAAAAAGGTGATAACATAACTAAACGAGCAAGCCACATGAATGTCTGGGAGCAAATTAATTGTATATGCTACACAAATATGGCCAGGATCCGTTGAATTTTCGGAATATTGGGTTGTAGATTTTCAAAAGGGGGTTTCGTTTAGCATGAAACACTTGAAATAACGAAAGGATAAGTTAAAAAAGAAAAGTAGAAAGAAAGTGAGGTCAAAGAAAACTATTTCTGCTAAAAAGTTAGCAATGATTGAGAGTCAGACCTAAACATTTCAGATGTGTATATCTCCTACTGCACTGTAACTCAGTTATTCATGTTTTATTATCTTTGCTTTTAAATGAGTGTTTTTAATGCCATTTTATAATATGTTTCTTAATGCTCTTAATGTCTTTCATTTTTGTAAAGTACTTTGAATTGCCTTGTGTTGAAAGGTGCTATATAAATAAACTTGCCTTGCCTTGCCTAAACAACATTTGCTTTTGAAAAATACATTGGAACATAGAGTAAGACTACATTGAGCAATCTATACAAACACTATTTTATTGATGTTCTTTAGTTCCTTTTTAGTTCCTCTACTCTTATTTCTTACGGTTAGAAGGATCATTTTCTATCTGATGAGCTTCTCAGTAGCTGTGAGACACAACACCCATGAACAAATCTCATTTCACAGAAGGTTTCATAGCACAGATATCACAGCTTTACTGTGTGCAACATCAACCTCACACAAGCCTCTTGCCCTTGATAGCATCACTTCACTCGTTTCAGTCAATAGCTGGCATACCAGACTATTGTATTGATACTTCAGAGATAGCAAATAGGGACAGCTAGTCTGTGTGCAGTTCATAGACTAGGGATGTAACGATATATCGCGGTAAATAAATGTCTCGATACCGTCATGAGACTGACAAAATCTACCGCGATTCTTTTAAAATAATTTTTTTTTTTTTTTAATTTTTTAAAACCTTTATTTAACCAGGTGGTCCCATTGAGATAATCGATCTCTTTTTCAAGGGAGACCTGTCCAACATGGCTGCAAGTAGGTTACAACATGAACATAGAACAACAGATAACACAAAAGGACATCGTATTTACAGGGCTACATTTACATACCTAGAGACATTGACAAGTACCAACAGTATATTTATATCTCGCCCTGTCAATAAGCCTCACCTTCTTGGCAAACACTGTATTGTTTTTGAAGTGATGGAGAGACAATGCAGTTTTACCCACTGCTGTCACCCATGGCCAAAGCATATCTCTGTCCCAGCAACATCAGTACCAAGCAAGATAGTTTTTTCCACAGCAGGGGATATTGTAAACGCCCAAACATTCCAGCTTCTACCTGGAAATGTGGACATGCTCATATTCCTAAAAAAAGCCTGTCTGATGATGCTGAGTGAGTGAGTTAGTGAGTTTGAGTTGAGTGACTTGAAAAACTAAAGTGAAACTTGATTTATTTTATTGCAGGGTCTGATTATTATATTTTTGGCACTTTAAAATACTACTATCCTACAAAAATGCTGTACAAATCAGATTTATTATTTAATAAAGAAAAATGTTTCAAGTAAGAAAATATGTTTTCAAAAGAAATGTTTCAAAAAAAAGAAATTCAAATTTTTTTTCTCTTTATTTTTCAATATTGCGATACATATCGTACCGTGGAGTTGTTATCGCGATATTATCGTACCGTGAGTTTTTGGTATCGTTACATCCCTACAAATGACACAATATTTAGCATGGGCTTCCAATGAAAAGCAAGCATTGGAAAAAGGCCCCAATGGTTTACACAAAGAATAATTGTGGTCATGCCTGCGAGTCTGAGAAACAGGATCATATTGAATATGACTCTTCTGCCTCCAGTCTCACAAAGGCCCACACTTATGTCCTTATCAGACAGGAGCCACATGACCTACATCCTGAGAGCAATCCCATACAATAATAGATGGATGGATTTCAGCTTCATTCTTCTTCCTGCTCACAGTAGTCCCATTGGCTCCATCATCCCTGATATCATCTGGTAAAACTGAATGTTGCAAAAGGAAGGGAAGGGCTCTAATAGGGTCTATAAAATCTCTTGTTCCTGTGGAGCAGGGAACTGACATTTGCATACATGTTTTATAAACTGCAAAACATTTGCACAAATAACAACTAAGTCAGCAACAGAGTGTCAGTCCTCTACTTTGATGTCTGGAACATAAAAGCCTTCCTGGCCCTTCCATTGATAGAGGTTGAATCGAATGAGTTGAATGAGTTTGGATCAGAGCTTTTCCAGTAAACAAAACAAAAAAGGGTATTCATTAACCTATCAACAAACGCAAAAATCTACTTTTGATATTTGCCAAATTGCTGTGTTGCTAAGATTCTTTTCACCAGAATATCAAAGACTTGCCTTGAAATTGGGGTGAGATGAGGCCATTTAAGTCTGCTTTGTAGGAGTGTTTTACGTTTGTTGGAAGGATGGGGTGATGGGGGGGGGCGGGATAACTGAAGCGGTTTCCTGGGAATCATTGCTCTTGGCGGGATTCAGGAGTCAAGTTCCTTAGGGATTTGAAGGAGAGGAGAAGCAGGGGAGCTTTGATTGAATGGGTCTCTTTGTGGGAAGTCCTCGTTTAAACGCATGTCACAGTCTCAAAGAGCAGCTTGGCAACGCTGAGTCACCGATCGCTGTGCAACAACACTCCTGCCAACTCTCTCCGCTACACACAAATACGCTGACACACATCTCAGAGTTTCACATTAACCTCAGCTGACTTGCACAGTTGTTTATTATCTGAATATATTAGTTAAATAATTGTAAATAAGAATTTGTGTATTGGTAGTTGCGAACAAACAACTGATCATAAAGCACACAATCTGAAGGCTTCTCATTTAAACACTGCAGTTTTATTGTGTTATTGTTGTGTGTTCATTCTCTTCCAGTGCTTCGTTTGGAGTCAGAAGGAAGGTATTATAAACCAGCACGTTTTTGCTTAATTTTTGTTCTTTAAATTGTGTTGTTTGTTGTTCTTTGTTCTTTTGTGTGCTCCTTTTAATGGCAATAGGGATCCATATAATGTATGATGGCGCCGGTGATGATGGCTGCCGTGTCTTTTGTTCCTCTCCAACTCTGCCTTTTTCCCCCGCTTTATTTCAGTGTTTGTTTACATTTCGTTGTGTGCTTTTAACTTTCACCGCAACATGCGAGCCAACCACACCAATTACTTGTATATAGACTATTCTGCACTATTTCTAGTATATTCTATTTTATTTTATTTACTTGCACTATTTTATCTGTTTCATTGTGTTGCACTGTTGGAGGAGCCTGCGACCTAAGATGTTCAGCGTCATAACTACACTGTAGCTATGTACAAATGACAATAAAAGCCTTGAATCCGTGAATATATACTTTTTCTTTTTGGAAAAACCTTGAGTGGTGGTGAGCAGCTCTGAAGGACAATTTATAATGATGTCCTCTAGGTTCTGTGGATAATGGAGGGCTATTTTACAACATTAAGGACAAATATGATGGAAATATACATTTCTGCATGCTCGTCCCTTTTACCCTTTTTACATGTGGGAAAACCCTTCAAATCCATATTATCACAGCAATTGGATGGCAAAAGCACCGCTTCATTTTGTGTGTATGTCTGCACGTGCAGTTACAGTTGTGTGTGTGTTTACCTGGCAGAGTGTCCATTGTGTTCCTCCTGGGAATGTACTTTTCTGGCTTGCCCTTCATATGGCCCGTCCAACTCTGACTCCTGGGACAGCCGGCCGCACTCCGAGTCTGAGTGTGTTTTTGTGAAAGGCGGGAGTTAGAATCTACTGTAGGTATCTGGCTTTCAACTTCAAATCCAAAACCTAAATTAAACCAATGCAACAGTACTGCTACACATGTATGGTTACTGTGGAACTAATGAACATAAACTGATGCCCCGCTGACGTTAGTTTAATGGAAAGTCAAAATAGGTCATGAGCCATTTGGTGGCCATTCTGCTGAGTCTTTATTTATTGTGCTTTGTGAGGAAGTCAGAGAAGTTTCCTTGCTGAGTGGACACTGGGCATCACATCAAACAAATCCACACAAACAAAATAAAGTGCAGCCGGTGGAAGGGAAATGTAATTGTTACACAAATATCCAGTTGATGTATGACTAATCTGACCGCAAACATCTGATGAAAAGCCACAGAATTCTGAGATTGTCAAAGTAGTCATTTTCAACTTTCTGTGTATAGACTCTTCTGCTTTTAAATGTATTGTTAAATAATATTTGAGAAACATTTGGATGGAAAATGACACTCACTCACCGATACTGTGACGCAGGGAGTCAGCAGTGCTGGGGCGACTGCCCGAGCGTGTGGGGGGGCGGGAGTTGTATCGAGAAGGAGGCAGACTTCCTTCCTCGCTTTAAAGAAGAGCCATCAGAGTGAATATATCAGTGTAGTTTTCTTGATATCAAATCTTTTAACCTTAATCTTAACAGTTTTTCTACACATAGTTGTACAACACTCTTAACAAACAAAGATAAACAATGCCATTAGTACTATCAGTTACTTGAGTGAGTTGATGCTCCCTTATCTCTGGGGCCAGCTCATGTGTAGTACACTGATCCCTCATACCGTCATATCTATTACTCTAAAATAACACTCTCCATTATCTCTAATGTCTGTCTTACAGTTGTTATTGACTTGATATGCCTTTCAGTACAAAGCGGCTACAGTTCCAGTTTCCTCTTGCTCACTCATTTAAAGTATATGAACAATGCAGGCTTTGCTACGATTAAGGGCAAATTGTGTTTGAATGCATTCCTGCTTTGACCTACTGCACTACTTTCAAAAGATCTTCATTATCCGTGTGGTTGAGAAAGTGGGCAGCAGTTATTGTCAAAATGAATAAAAAGTCAGATTGTGGGCTATGTAAATGTGTCCACTATAAAATGAAAGAGGACATACATAGCATTACTTGATCTCAATATGGTATTCTGTGGTATTTTGCAAATCATTAGGAAGCGACTGCCCACCCTGGAGCAAGAAACCCAACCTTATCCTGCTCACTATGTGTCACCATGACAGACACCATCAATTAGCATGTCAGCTTTAGAATGAACTGCAATTAGGACTGTCTGACATTGTCTGTGTATTCATTTCACTTACATTGCATTGACGTTACGATGAGAGCTAGGGGTGACTGGCCGTTGCAGGGGTTCATCACCACTTGCTGGCAGCACAGGGGTCGACTTCCTCTTCACTTTCGCCATGTTGGTCATGATCTACACACACACACACATAATATATTATGTAACTATTGTTATATCTCTGTTAATCTGTGAATATATTGCCCTCTTTATATATATATAGCAGATAACAGTCTGTAGAGTTTATGTCATGCAGATACATAAACCAGAATGTGTCCATAGAGAGTGACTAATAGAGAAACATATTTTTCAAGATTCAAGTTTCAAGATTCAAGGCTTTATTGTCATGTGCACATTAGCTACAGTGTAGATATGGCAATGAAAAACTTCAGTCAAAGGCTCCTTCAACAGTGTAACATGAATAGATATAGGACATACAACAGATAAAACAGAACTCTTGGACAGTCGTTACCATTTTCACTGAAAACCCTCTATGTGATTACAGCTAGCCGTCTACTAGTGTAAAGGGCTTGTCCAAAGCAAATCACCGACCTCTTTTAAAAGCTAGTTGAACTGTAATGGGTTATTAGGATAACTACACAATACTGGTCTGACACAGGGATATTGTGAGCCATTGAGATGAATGTATAAAAGCAAGTTTACACCTTTTTTGACATCTCGAGGACTTATGAGGGGTCCATGAGGGGTCAGTTGCTTATTCAGGACAAATGAACATGATGATGACACCCACCTTAAAGCTCTTTCAGGGGAGGTGCTGTCTGTGTTTGTAGTTATCAGGTTTTTAGACACTTATATTTGAGACAGCTTCCTTAAAAGTGAGGATCCGCTTGTCTCCTTCATTGTTTAATGCGTGCACACAAGGCAGTTAACACTACCAGCTCCCCTTATTGGTATTGTACCTTTAGCTCTTGCTAGCTGGAAGCTCCAAAGTTAATTAATAACCTTCAGCTGGCTTATCAAATTAATTAAGACACTAGCGGAGTAATTGTGAGTAGTTTAGGTGTCTGCTAATCTAACAACATGTTGTTGAGGAGTGTAGTGAGTGTGTGTGTGTGTGTGTGTGTCTGTGTGTGTTTTGCTCTTACTCCGAGGTACTCAGTGGTGAGCAGACTCTCTCCAGACAGTTCCCTTGGCTGTGGCTGGAGAACTTCCTCTATTTCAAGTTCTGTCTCCATTAGATCTTCCTGTCACAACACAATAACAGCATGCAGTGTCAGTAATGTGGATTTTGTAACAATCAGCATTCAATCAATTTATGAACAGCTGACATCATCACCTCGGCCTCATTTACCGCTATTATATATCAAATCTACAGGTTTAGTTTGGTGGGGTTGACTATACTTTTTTGTATGTACTTTTTGCAATAACATTTATTCGAGTCTACAAGCTAGGTTGAAAATGAATACAGTGCTTGGCACCAAGTCACACGGCACCAACAAGAGACCAGTGTTGTCTACATTTGTTGGACTCACTCACACAAGTGGGGAACATGCAGTATATCAGTTTAACCTTATAGCCATGGTAAATAGATAGCAGCAACAGAAACACCTCATCTGAGATCAGATGCAATAGAATAAGGGCAACACTTACGACCACATGCATTATCTTGATAACCCACTTTCCCACATAATCCAATCTACCAAGATCACCCCCCCCCCCCCCTCTCTCTCCTAAACACACATGACATCCAATATCTGTGTCATGCTGAGATTGCTATCTACAGGTGTGGGAAAGGTGTCAAATATGAGGTGTTCATTCCGGTCGTGCTTCTTCTCATCTCCATTTGTTATCCTCTCCTCAGATATTTTGATCTGTTTTTGTTAATAAATTCATATAGTTGGGAAATCATTCGTAGTTGGGTATGTCTCATGGGCTTAGAGGAGGACTTACATCATTGTCGTCGTCTTCTTCTTCATCATCTGATTCTGGCCCCTCATCATCAGCTGGTTGGAATAAAGCCAAAAACACCAGAATGTAACATAATCAGTAAATGTGCCTATGGAGGCATAGATAGACCCAATGATAACGTATACAAACTAGGGATTTTGATTTAAGCAATTTATCAACTATTCAAAAAATAGATACTTGCTATTCTTTAAACACATTATAAAACACTACAATTTCAAAAACACACTAAATGTCCTGCTATCTAACCAACATTTTACGTTACAAGTGAATGACAACTCCTAGTTACACACATTATCATAAATGAGCACATTATGTCACTTTAAGTTGTTAAAGTATTTTATCCTTAAAGGTGGGGTAGGTAAGTTTGAGAAACCGGCTCGAGATACACTTTTTGTTATATTCCATGGAATGCTCTTAACATCCCGATAGCAATGAATATCTAAAGTGCTTTGACAAAAAATCCATAAAAAAATGTCATCTGTGGAAGCCGTAATACTGTAGAAAGCACGACCAATCATTTTAGCCGGCCCGGCTAAAATAACTGGATGGCCTACCTGCCTGTCAGCCTTCCATCTGTGCACAAACTTATCTCGTGCCCTCATTGGTCATGTGCGCGTTCGTGTGTGTTGGAGGAGGGGCTCTGTAAGGAAGTGGCAGATTTTCTCCGGTTGTGTATTTTCAAATTCTAGCGATCTCGAGCCGGTTTCTCAAACTTACATACCCCACCTTTAAATATAAATACCATTCATAGTAGAATACATCATTACAACAGTAAACATGACTTCACTAACCTGAGTTTAGCTGTTTAAGGATGAACTTAATCTGTCTGTTGAGGTCTGGGTTCTCCTCTTTGCTGTAGCAGCGGAGGATCTCCTCCACACTCTGCACAGGGGAGGGAAACACAAAACGCACTGGTGTTAGTATATGACTTTATACCTGAAAGACAAAAACAAGGGCTATATTTCTAGTACCGATAGAATCAATAGCAGCGACTTTACTAGCAGTAAGCAGTGTAATAACAACTGGCTGGACGTCAAAAGTGCTGAAGTGGAATATAACATTTTGTAATTGTGTTACTTATGATCACTGATGTTTAGGCATTTGCTTAAATATTACATTTGCTTGACAGGATGGACCCAGAGCCATACATACTCTCCTGCGACTCCAAATGTCATTGCAGAAACATTTTCAACCTGTGTTTAAGACACAGATACAACCCACCCGCTCACCAGCATCTTTGTACAGAGAGTGAGTCATATGACTGTGAACACCTGTTGTTTCCTGTCCAAACACTGGCTGTGTGGTGACATAAAGAGACAAACGCAGAGCAAAAACACAAACTGCGTCTGTTTCCTCTAAGCAGGTGAAGACATGTGTGCTATCTCACCATCTCTTTGGCTTCCTGTCTCACAGAGGGAATACACAGGATACTGTACAGGGCTCCATTCACATATGGTCGAATCTGGGGGAGCAAATGACACACGCACGCGCACACACACACATCCTCTGTTTTATTTTCTCTGGCCAAATGGTAAAAACGTTTAGAAATGTGCACCAGCTAAGGAACACAGATACAAAGAAGAAATAATCTTTTGCAGTGGATTCACGTGTCATGGTACGTTACAAGACTAAATGAGTTAATGACTTGACGGCCTTTCATAAAATTGAAAGAAGCTTATGTTGCTTATCTTTTATAGATTTAATTAAAGTCATGGATCATTTCAAGACACTCAAACACTCCGGGAGGCATCATAAATGTAGTTTCAAGGCAAGTCTGCATGTGTCTGTTGGATTACAGAGCTATTGAAATTCCAACAGATCAGCTGGTAGTGAAGCTATTTATTTTGTACGTATGTATTTATTTTGTACGTATTACACATCCATGTTGTTTTACCTCTGTGAATGTGTGTGTGAGCATAACAAACATTGGGCATGCAACATCTGTGTGCCAGTGTGGGCGGATGTGTGTATCACCTCGTGGTTCTCATGTCCAAGGAGGTCAGTTAGAACCTTGAGCACATGCTTGGCGTTCTCCTCACACTTCCTTTTTCCTGTACAAAGACAGACATCCAACACAAACACAAACGCACACACACACACACACAATCAATCTAACAGCCCAAAATAATTTTATCCTACAATGTGACTCATTTGTTTGATTAAGGATAGGGTGACCTTTTACTGATTAATATGATTTTCTCCAAATGTTTTTCCATTAGTTTTATCTCTCCGTTTGTAAGATAATACCAGTCCAGCTTTTTCACTTTGGCATAAACAGCAGGCCCCAAAACTGAAGATAGTGAAACTGAAACTGAAGTAGTGAGAAAGAAAGAGAGTATATCTGTTGATGGTTTATATATATAATATATGTGTATTAAGGGGTGTAACATGAACACAGATACACTATAGATATGGTCTAAGAGGAAATAATAAAAAATGTGTGTGTTCAGAAGAAGCTGTAAAAGCTAAAATGTTGTGTCGAACGAAAACTAAAAACATATCGGCTTTTACTCTGCCTATAATAAAATCATCCAACAGTTAAACATACATTAGTAAGACATACAAGTTGATTTACACTGACATCAGTTAGTATTTATAAGATTCCATTTCCTCCATATGTTTCTTGGATTCCATTCAAGTAACACAATATATAGTAAAGAGGACCTGCAAGATGTATATATACATATGTATATATAGTAGTATACCATATATGAAGAGAGGAACGTTGTATTTATGCCTGAATGTGGGTTTATAAATGAGAGTTAAACTCCCATTGAGTTATGCTGAGTATTTCTTTATCAATTTAACTTTATAAGCAAAGTGTATTGTGAGGAACATTCCCAGCCAAATCTCAACAGATTGGGGTCTCATGCAATATGAATCTGTGGGTCTGTGCTTCATGTACCTGAGCCTCGTCCTTACCTTTTGTTCGCAGACACAGGTTCATGAGCAGAGCAGCAGAGTACTCCAGGGTGTAGTCGCTCAGGCAGTCAGAGTCCTGCAGCTCATCCACCAGCCAGCCAATCAGATCGTCTGCTATCATGGCCGTCTGCTGGCTCCTCCTACCAAGAAGACATAATAAAAAGTTATAGATGTCATACAACATTTGTGTTACTGAGCGGGAAAGGAATTCTGGTTGATATCCAGAAAACGTGATCCCTGATGTTTCATCATATTTAAAGCAAAACGGCAAGCATGAATTTAATTTTAAATTAAATCAAATAGAAGATTTAACAATTTGATTTCAATAATCTGTTGCTTCTTCAGGGTTTTTGTCAAGGTGATATTTGTTTTATATGACACTAGCCCATCTACAAGTCAAAAATAATAAGACAATTAGGTGATGATTGGTAATTAATTCGACAAACTGGTATTTCATTTGGTTGATAAACACACCATTCAGTTTTAAAATTGTTTGAAAGAGTAGAGTTTCACCTGAGGCTGAGCTTCTGCAGCGCCACTAGCACGTTCTCTCTCGTTACGGAGTCTTTTTCCTCCATCCTCAGCGCCTCCGTCAGACGTTTCAGCAGAATGGGGATTTGGGAGAGGTAAACCCGACCTATAAGGATTAACACAAAATCAAATTAAGATCAAAATGCAATAAAATTATTTATTTTAAGGCCTCACTGGACACTCAAATACACCAGTTTAATCTAAGTTACAAGCAGTGGCTTCAACAGTGAAAGCCAAACATTTCACAATACAGTTTTATTGCAACAGAATGATCTCCTTCACACAGCAAAGCTGACCAGATTCACCATGATGGGTAAACCTGATGCAAACATATTCCTACCATCTCAACCTGTTACTATGAATACATTTAGTTGCATGAGGTTCACAATTTATATATAATATGTTTTGTAATTTCCAACTTTTAGAAAATTAAAAAAGCTACTTCTGACTTAACTTTCCAATAAAACTTTTCCTTGTTCTTGCAAATCAATGTTAGCTTATTGATCTTCAATAAAAATAATTTGAACTCAACCACTGAGTACATAAAAGAAAGTCATGCGTGTCAGCATAAATCATATCATTCCGAACAACATTGTCCATTTATTTCCAAAGTTGCTGCTGCAGAGGATCATTAGCGGAACTGAATGGAAGTTATTGTAAAAGCTTTTGAGGTCTTCCTTGAAGCTATCTCTACAAATGCATCCAGTCAGACAATGACTCATGTTAAAAAGAAATAATGATGCTTAGGCACTTACCCTCTGCAAGGGAAGCGAATGCATTGATGAGACGAGCCATGTATTGGCGGACAATCTCGTTCCTGGAGCTCATTAAATGAAGCACAGTTTTCTGTAAAAGACATCAAATGTAGGGTAGTTTAGAATGATATCTAGTACTTTCACGGTATCATACTTTTGAGCAGGCTCAACAAATGTGGCCAAAATATACAAAATGATTTGGAATTATTTAAAACTGATGCTCATGGGCTGATTCTACATTGTGTTACCTCATTCAAAAATAGATAGGAACTGGACAGACATTTATTTTTTTACCAATGTATCAATGATTGATTATTTCAGCTCTTATGTCTGATATCTGTAGACAATCAATGTGAAATGCTTGGTCCAGTTTGTCTACAGTCTATGCTCTTCACCCACTCCACACAAAGTCAAGGCAGGACAGAAACAAATGTGTGTCGCCAGCAAAGATGCCAATTCCCCACCTGTCTTAGATTAGAGTCTGGGGATTAATTACACTCTGAGGCCAATTGACAAGAAGTTATCTTATACTTTGGTTCTGGTTGCACTGGAAGGTGGGTTGAGGATAACAAAATCACAGTCATTTCAGTTCAGATTTACCAGGTGAGACCTCTGTCATAGTAACTGCTTTGTGTCAAAACTTGCCACATTACAAATATATCAAAACGTTTACTTTATCATCCCACCTGTTTTGTGCTGTAGCGCTCCAGCAGATCGTTGCTGATGAAGGCCTGAAGCATGGTGTCTCTTTGCTCACCAGGCAGAGAGCGAGTCAGTCTCTGAGAAAAGACGTGAGAAACAGACCCAGCAATGAAGTCTCAAAGGAGTGAGTGAATATGAGTGATGCTCACAAACTGCTACACTAATGAGCTGCGTCAAAGTCAAATCTTAGTGTGAACGGTAAAAGTTAAGACTTAAAAACCTTTTATTAAATCTCCATACTATACACTTTTAAGTACAGAACACTAGCCTTTCTGTAAAGTGTGATTATGATGCGGCGTAGATTATTATTACTCACCCAGCGCAGCGCCTGAAGCAGCAGCGCCCTGCGTCTGTCGGAGCCTTCAACCAGGTCTTTCTTTAACTTTTCATAGTCCAGTGAGGGCAGCATTGGCACCTCTTTGGGTCTCCTTTAAAAAAACACCAAAGTCAGCAAGTTTATTATGGAACTTATAAACTTATAACAGAAAAAACATTCATATTCAAGACTTACTGCGGTGCAATGGAAGCTCGAAGCAACGAGGAGGCCTATAAAAGAGAGGAAGATTAAGAAAGATGTCGGAGAGGAAGAGTATATGTTAGAATTTTACCACATCGTTATTTATTTAAGTGTGGAATACATAACCCATGCGACTGCTCATCTGTTTCATAATTTGGACTAAATGGTCCCCCAACCAACTCCGTGTTATCCATCCAAAACGATGAGAAAAAGTTAGCTACTGTCTAAAGAGGTAATGAGTATTTTTTTGGGACATGCGTACATCATGCTCAAGGTACATGCCGAATCCGCAACTATACAAGAACAGTACCGTTTGGCAACATTGCCCATGCAGTCAGTAACAAGTAGGATAACATAAGTCAGTAATTGTTAAGTTCCACAGAGGGCAGGTTAGTGTGAAACAGCCAGACCTTCATGTGTTACACCCCAGTGTACCTGAACTGTGGCCCTGTTTGTTGTTGTTTTTAGAGAAAATAAAGTGGACACTACTGAACTAAAGACTAATATGTCCATTGGGTGTTGGTGAATGTGTGTAGAGGAAGGGTGAGAGATCTAATTATTAGTGGGGGTTTTTACTATTGAAAAGGAATTTTGAGCCCTGAAATCCAATCTGAAGCCCGGGTGGTTAAGCCTACAGCAGAGCAGTGTAAGGTCAGGGGAGTGATCCGTGTGGTCTGTAGTATCGGGTGGGCTGCCCACATTTTTGCTTTGGTGTGCAGCAGGTAATACGGAAGTGGGGGAAAGCACCAATACCTGGATTCATTCCCAAATTCTTTCTTTGTAAACACTTCAGTTGCCCTGAAAAATGCTGAGGGGCAAGGGGAAAGGTTTCCCTGAGACATTTGAGCCTTCCCCTTACGTTGACCCAAGGTGGCCTGATAAAGAGATGTATATACAAAACATTTTGAACCAGTTCTATTCATTTCTTTCTAACAGGAAAGCCATACACCTATAATGAACGTACACATAGTGGGGTCAAACTAAATGATTAGAGGCAGAAGGAAAACTACAACAAGGCATTTCTAAATGGTCCTTATAAAACTTAAAGACCACGTGTATTGACACATTTCAGCCAATCATCTACCCAGAGCAAAGACTTGACCTGAATTCTCTGTCGAAGCTGAGTTTAAATAAGAGATACCGTTTCTATCTATTGTTGAAGTTATTGTCAGAGTAGATGGCGCTGCTCCCTGATCTAAGTCAGGATTTGTCCCTGACATGGCGGAGAAGAAAAGTTAACGGAATAGTTAACTTGTTCATCTCTTAGCCTTCAGAAAATGTAAATTAAGCATCCGTTTAATCCGTTATATTTCAGCTGTGGCGGTTTTATTTATTTTAATCTCATTTCCATTCTTTTCTCCTTCAACAGTTAAAACCTCGACCTGACATTCCCTGGACATTACTTAAATAAGTATTATTATTGAATTGGTTCCATCATGATTGCTTGCTATTTAATGTGAACCATCAAAATGATATGAAAGGCTCTTTTGTGTCTCTTTTCAAAAGAGCTGTAGTTAACCCACCCTTTTTGACAAACTTAACGTTAGAGAAGTGTTTATTACAACGAAATTATCTTAAAACCTGTACCATTGTACCAAATGGTAAGGAGAGTAAACTGAAACTGACAGCATTTACTTTTGAGAGAGAGTTTAGAGGAGGAACAATGACTGCGGCTTATGAGAACAAATGTATTTAATGATGAGGGTCCGCCCTGAGAGACGCTCTTGTTTGGCTTAACAAGGGCTCTGACAAAAGAGGCCATTCTTACAGAAAACAAGGCTGAATATCCCTTTAAACTGGGCACAATCTCATAGGAACCAGAGGAAAATGGCCCTGCATATAGACAGATGAAATGTAGTATATCTATAGTGAGGGAAGAGGAGGCAGACACAAGGAGAAGGAGGGAAGGAGGAAAGGAGACAAGGCGAGGCGCAAGCAGGATGATAGGTAGGGACCTGAAAGATGGAGGAGGTAAAGATGAAAACATATGAAACTTACATATCCGTCATCATAGGGACTCATAGAGTAATATCCCTTTGAGGACAAAAGTATCACACACACACAAACACACAGAAAGAAGTGGTTCAGTTTAAAACAGAAAGAAACAAGATTTCACAAACTACAGTTTAACACCACAATGAAGGCCACTGACAGCAAGCGTGATTGTTGAGGTTTTATGATCAGCTGTGTCCTTGACTCACACTTTAACAGATACAAAACCATGGCGACAAAGCCATAGACAAAGCCAAGACATAGCTATTTGATGTTTAATATGAATATTTTGTATTTTGTTCAAACTGCTTCATGCAGCTAACCATCATTTTAACCATTATAATCAAAGTAACATTTCAATTGGTTAATAATCTTTGGACTTTGTGAGCTTTTCTACAAGCCTTCCAAGCCTGTGTGTGTTAATGCAACAGCAGGATCCAGGCACCTATTTCCAGGATACTAACTACAGGATTACTAGATGGCTTTAACCAGGCTACACAATGTACAGGATGTAGAGGACGTGTGGACAAGTTAATGCAGATTAACCCTCCTATCCTTTTCAAACACAACGTCATCGTTACCACTACCTGTGTGATGTACGGCCCCGAGAGCACTTTCCTACGCTTGTTTAAAAGTTTGAGACGCTTGACATTTTCCAGGCTTGTACTGAAATCATCTTGCCCTGATGTATTGTGTTTTGTTATTCTGCTGTGAAGGAGAATGAGGGTGAAGAGAGGTGTGTGTGTGTGCTCTCACTCACAGTGCCAGGTCTGGTGAAGTCAGTGCTCTGCACCACGCTCTGCCTCATCTGGCTGCTGAACAGGCGGACACACACACTCTGCAGGTACTCAGGGGAGATCTGCAAAAACACAGCAGGCCCCTTGAGCTTTAAGATGCTGTATGTGGGTGGAGGGAGGGAGGGCAGGGATGCCATTTTGGTGTCCCTGTTTAATAGCCTTGTCTAATAGTGAGGTGTATGTGTGTATTCATTAATATGCATATTCAATTTGTAAAAATGTTTCGTACAGATATGTTTTTTGATATTCAAGTGTTTGCTTATACCACATCAAACAACCTTTTGGTGTCCAGTATTTGTGTGTGCATACCACTAATTGGCTCATTTGTGTCAGTGTGTGTGCCAGTCTATGTAGTTAGTGCCTGTAGCCTGTGTGTTAGAATGTGTGTGTGTCTGTGTGCTCCACAGTCAAGCAGACCTACCATTTTTCCGCTGACAGTGGCCTCCAACGAGTCGACCAGCTCAGCCGTGATTCCAATCAGGTTGTGGTAGTCGGCCTGCATCTTGTTGAACTTCCGTACGTAGCTATTTATGCGTCTGTCTGATTCCACCAGCTGGAGCTGTAACTGCTGTATGGCCCCTGTGCATTCACACAAACACACAAAGGTTGCCATATAGAAACAAATAATAATTAACAGCATTCATATCACAAGCGACCTTCTTTGTGTAAATGATGGTTAACATGTTATTTTTTTTTTTTTAATCTTTGGCAAAGCCTCCCATCTCTTATGGCACTTTGAATGGCTGTGGACTGTCAATTACGCACAAGTAATGATGAGTTTTACGACAGAAAGTTCAAATATTATGAGGTTTGGGCCAGGGAAAGAGTTTGGAAATCCTTATCTTGAATATTTGACCACCACTGTTAAGTAATAGGCTGTTGTGGTCTAAAGATTTCAAGGTATGGGAAGCTTTTTGTTTTTAATTAAATCATTGAGTGACTGGCGTTGACAAAACAAGTTGTTGTTTAGGCAGTCTGCAGTTAGTATTTGTGTTATCACATTGCAAAAGTAGCTAGAGAGGGATATTTACCTTTAGTGCTCCTTCCTCCCTCCTTCTGCATGACGCTTGTTAAAGAATACGCACTAGCATTCAATGGAACAAGTCAAACAATTATATGTATTTGTTTCGTTATCCAATGATAAATACAGACAAGGGATTGTGTAAGTTGCACTTTTGAGCTTCAATTTGACTGGACACATAGCAAACACAGTCTGTTTTACATCCTGTTTGAAGCGGACACATTTTTATGAAAACAAACATTTACACAGGACTGGAAGATAATAGTGTCTATTTAAGATCAACACCTATAATTCAGAGCACATAAGCATGTGAACGTGTCCTGGAATGGTTGGAACTCCACTAACCACAGAACCTTTTCATTTGTGAGTGTGCTGTGGCAGCTGCTGTGTTTACATATTGAAATATTAGCTTATGTAACCCTGCTCTTTTATGCTTCATGTATGTACAAATAGACAGTATTTCTTTGGTCAGCCCTTGAGAGGATGCTCACTATGTTAATCTGTGTACTTTGATTGTCAGCCAGTAGGGATAGGGTTTAGTTTCATGTTGAGGGAGGAAAGTCGAGCCACTGGGTTTCCAGTTCAAGCAACAACTCGTGTTATCCTTCACTTGCCCTTCTACCCTGAATGACTTCGGATGAGTTAGTGTTGGATTACTTTCTTCCAGACTGAAACACGGCCATAAATAAATGTAAATCAGACAGGATTTGCTTACATGATAGGAAACGTCCAAGTCTGGGCTATGACTGTTAATGAATTCTCAAGTCACCAACAGAAAGGCTTTTTGCTGAGATTTAAATGTGCAGCTCATCCAGAAGAGGAACCACTGGCCATTCAGTAGGATAACACTGGTATATATCGAATTTAATGGCCAAGTAAGAAGTTGAGCACAAACATAAAACTTATTTTATAAACAACTATTTAGCTGTGGTGAAATGAATGCAACTTGTAAAACAGAAAGGCACAGCACACACATTTAAATTAAAATATAATATCATCTATTGTTCATAAATATACAATATGTCACCCATCTGTGCTGTACATGTGGCATGTGAGTGAGTCTCAATAAAGGATACATATAAATTCAGCAGCCGTGGGGTGTTGGATGACTTCAGTGTCACCGACAGAAACTGCTCCAGCTTATCTTTCAACTGTGGTATCCAGGAATCCTAAATAAACAGAATTTAGAATGGAAGAAAATATGGTTATGCTCATTCTGAAAGTAGCACCAGGTAGTAATGTTGCATAATATATAATAAGTTGTTGACAATAACCAAAAAGATAGTGTTAGCTGATCACCTGGAAAAGATTTTTGAAGGAGGGATGGACAGTGGGGTTTGGAACAAAAGGCAAAGCATAGTAAGGCAGGAACTCTGCGGTCTGGCTCAATGACGCTCCGCGAGTCTCCAGGTACTGCTTAAAGTGGGAAATCCTCTCCTCAAAATCAGCCCGGTCCTGAAGAATGAGTAAGGTTTTCAAAGGAGTAGATTTATTTCAAAATGTCTGTTTAGCTTACAACATAATTTAAAACATCTGTAATATACATAATATTTTTCCAATTAGATAATTCTGTTTCTTTCCCATTTGTAATATACACAATATTCTTCCAATTACATCATTCTGTTTCTTTCCCTGCTGAGAACAAGACTGTAGCACAGCTTAGTGGACATTTCGAAAAATTGCATATCATGATATTCAATGATAGTTGTGTTTTGTCTGCGGATAATCTTAAGAAAAGTAATGCTCTTGTTTAAATGAAATGTATTTAACAATTAAAAACAACATACATGTCTACCAGGGTGCCTCCTCAGTGGGAAGATGGTGAAGTGGATGTAGAGGTAGAACTCCAGGCTCTGGGCCTCAGCGTCCGTGTCTTTAACCTCAGAGGGAATATTCTCAGTCCACAGTTCAAAGAACACTTTGTGGTCTCCGTCGTCAAAACAGCCAAGGAGGTCTTTCTAGAAAAGTCAAAGTTAAAGAGAAGTTGGTTGGAGAAATAGTAATAACTCTGGAAGGATGTAATCTACCATTTTTTCTGAAATGTTATAATGATAATGTATATATGATAATATGACCAAAATGTTTGGAAAACCCAACAATATTTAGAGATAGAATCAATACCAAAATACAAAAAAGCTTAATGCTAGGGATAAATCGCAGCACATCCCTTGTTGCCACTATCACAAATGATTAACAAACCTGCAGGAATAGGTCATAATAATTGTATGATTTACCTGGATAACACGAATCTTTGAGTCTCTGAGAGTACTTCCTTGAGGCTTTGAGACGAGCTTGCCTTTGCTTTTGCAGTCCTTTTCCAAACTGTGAACAGTCTCTTCAAATTCTTCAAACTTAAGGTACTACAAAAGACAAAAAAACAAGCATAGTGGTTTCAAATCTACCTTAACCAGAACACAATGGAGTTTAGTTTGACATCATCCAAATTACACAAACTTAAAAACTCTTGTAATTGACTTGTAGTGATGCTCATGCTGTTTGGCGTATTGCTCTGTGTGCATTCACAAAAATGTAAATGTGTTACCTCCTTGATCATCCCAAGAAGATCGGCTTCAGTTGCCAAGATGTCCCCCATCTTGGCTGCCTCCCTGGAACTCATGTGAGTGCCCCAAAACTTCAAAACACCTACTGTGAGAAAATAAGTCTGTTTTCAATAAACAACATTTGTACCAATTCTGCAGATCCAAAAGCACAGTACAGGACATTATAATTAGGCAAATGTGTGTAGCACCAAAATAACAAACAGGCAACAAAGGGCTGTCAAATAACTTTAACTATAGTGCAATTTTTGTTTTAGAGTATTATTGTTTTTAGAGAATTCAGCTATAGCGATATAAATGCTTTTTTGTTATAGTAGGCCTACTATTCTTAGACAAAAATAAAATGGATATCCATTTTATACTGGATGTATACAGCTTTTAAAACAACACCGTTAACAGAAAATCCGATTTGTTCTGCCTTTGTAAGCAAACGTGTGGCAAGCTAACGTTAGTAACGTTACTAGCTGACAAGCTAACATCATCTGACGGTAAAAGATAAGGAATCGTTCTCACCGTTTCACATATGCATTTGGTAAATATAGGTTTATATCGTTTCAGCGTGCTCATCCGGAACTGGAACTTATATGATCCATTTTCGACACGGCATGTGTGTTTACGCTGCTTTTAGCCAGCTAGCCATTAGCTAGCAACCGTACACAGATAGGACGCTAATACACCTAGCAACCAAACGTTAGGAAATGCAAGCTGGAAAGTAGAGGCAGATGTCGTGAATCGTGCTTTATTTAGCAAAACAACGTGTAAAGCACAATGTGTTTTAAACATTAAAGCAACTACACACAGATAGGTACGACATTGAGTTTTTAAATAATGTATTCAAGTTTTTTTGGGATTGACAGTAAAAAAACATCATGTTTGCATTTTCAACCGGAAGCAGTTTGCGTGTCAGAGGTTGAGCACATTGTTTCTCCCATGGCGGTACAATCGGTCTCACACTGAAGCGTAAATGAATTAAGTTTTACCGCTATAATATATATAAGGCACAATTTAAACAGACATCACCGCAGAACAATAGCGAGTGAGACTTTTCTGTGAGAAAAATTGGTCAAGAACTTATTTGAGGTAAGCTTGGGGAAGTGGGTGTTCTACATGCTAAAGCTAACAGCTAGCCTGAATAGGAGACACTTATAAAGTAGTAGTCAGCTAACGTTATAGCAATACTTTAAATAACGCTAACTCGGCTAACTCAGGCACCAACGTTGTTGAATTATTATCGAGTGAGAGTTTGTAAGTAACCAACAAATAATTGAACGTTACATGTCAAGCTACAGTTAATATTCATGTTTCTCAAGAAGCGTTATCTAGTTTTTTAAAAACTACGTCTTGGCATATTTTATTAGATTAAGACTAAAGCTCGTAAACAATATGTCTAATGTCAGGAAGGCAACTGGAAACACTCAACATTCTCAATCACTTTCAATATGTTTACAATTTCAGCATCTTCATTGTGACATAAATGATAGCAGAATCATAACGAGCAGCACAATACAATACCTTTAATCAAAACACCTAACATAAACATGCATTTAAGACAGTTTTTACTGACACAAAATACGACCCTTTTCTGCTGTTTTCTTTGCATTGTGTTTTTACTAGTTTACTGCTTCAGTCAGTCGTGTAACATAAGCCGGTAAACTTAAGTCTTATCCTTTGCTTGTTCTTTTTATCACGCAAGATATTTGTGTTGATGTACATATGACGAGCCATACTATTCATTTCCAAGAAAATGGCTTAGAAATGTGATGACTTTTTGAAACATTCACATCCTTTGTTTTTGTATAATCAGATTTCCCCCATTACTAACTAAAACATGGGCTCTATCAACGCAGACCAAAGCTATCAGTTATTTTCATTAAACTTTTTCTTCCTCCAACAAAAGCTGGACTAATGGTACTTGTCTTTTTCCTTTCCAGGTTGGTAGACGAGGGTAAAGATGGCTGGAATTCTGTTTGAGGATATCTTCGATGTAAAGGACATTGATCCAGATGGCATGAAGTTTGACAGAGGTGTGTGACATCTCATTATGATTAAAAGTTGAAAAGGGTGGAGGGACTACTACTGTACTGGTACACCTTATTCTTATATCTGTAAAATATTGTATGATCTTAAGTATTAAATTAAGTCTGGCATATTTTTAAGGTAAAGACCCAGATTTCTTTTTTGTGGAAATTATTTACATTTTAGTTTGTTGTTGTTTTGCCTCTCTCCTTTGCTTTTAGTTGTCTAGCTTTAATAATTTAACCTTCTAAAAGCATTTAACTATATTACATTTGTGTTACTATTATTTATTTTCAATTAGTATATTTCACTTTTAAAGTAGCAATGAATTTATCCAATGTCAACTTCTTCCTGTTTTGTTCTACAGTATCTCGTCTACATTGTGAGAGTGAATCTTTCAAGATGGACCTCATCTTGGATGTGAACATTCAAATCTATCCTGTGGATCTTGGTAAGAAGCAACCTCTTTTTTCTTGTCTATATTAATTCTAAGGTAAAGACAAGAAGTCTTTTGATTGTTGATTTTGTCTCACACAATCACATTCTAAACATATCTTGTATACAGTATGCTCGGAACAATCAGTTATTTTCCCAACATTTTTACCTCCTAAATATATAGAAATCCTTTTACCTTTAGACAAGGTGGTCACATAATTGTCTGGTTATCATCACTTGCACCTTTAGTTTTAGTTTTTTCCTTATATACTCTGGTGTACATGTGAGTAAGTAGCGCTACGCCAAACCGCTATATATTCCTCTTTTGTCAGTGTGTGAGGCTACACTTAGATTAAGGTGTAAAGCACCATGAATCATAATCCAGGGTGTCCAAGTTTCCAATATATAAAACCTCTTTGTTTGCATGTGTTTTATTTCTTTAAGGTGACAAGTTCCGACTGGTCATTGCCAGCACGTTATATGAAGATGGAACGCCAGACGACGGAGAGTACAATCCTCAGGATGACCGGCCTTCTAGGTAAGGCGTTTTCTCTTCAAACATTGATGACTGTAACTTAACCAACAAATGCTTCCTTTGTTCTTTCATGTTTTTAAGGATCTAACACCATTTGTGTGTAAATGTTTAGTGTGCCTGTTCCCTGTGATGTACAGCATGTTTTGATAGATGCTCTTATTTGACTTTGTTTACATTTCCAGGGCGGACCAGTTTGATTATGTGATGTATGGGAAGGTTTACAAGATTGAGGGTGATGAGACTTCAACAGAAGCAGCCACACGCCTGTGAGTAATATGACATGCTTTTTTTAAGTTAAGCTTATAACTTATAAATATAAATGTTAATATGTTTACCTTTTAAATAAACTGTTAGCATACTAACAAGTAGCTTTGCTATTGTTATTGGTAAATCATTAGTGCAGCAATTTCTCATATATAAATGACCACAGAAACTCTTTTTTTTAAAGAATTCTACATTTTTCAGCTTAGAAATATTATTTAGTTGTGAAAATATATTTGTATTATATGTCACTGGTTATAAGAAGAATATACTTAAGTTGGATTTTAAGTGTATTATTATAACTACACTATTCTTTTGTAAATGATCACCATCAGCTGTGTATTGCATTGATCAAGATTATTTAGCTTGCCCAACAGAAGTCTGTGTGTGATAGACAGATAATGCGATGGTAATATTTTCTTATCATTTTTTGCAAACTTTAAATCTCATTGGTTGTCTTTAATCAAGTTCCATGTGCTTCTTCTCTCAGATCTGCCTATGTGTCGTACGGCGGCCTCCTCATGAGGCTGCAGGGAGACGCCAACAACCTTCACGGCTTCGAGGTGGACTCCCGGGTCTACCTCCTCATGAAGAAACTCGCCTTCTAACCCCCAGCTCTGCTCACTCAGTTGTTCCCAATGTCACAGGCAACTTTATAAGGAACTGCATACTGAAAACATTCATATTCTCAACCCTGGAGTATGCAAATATCATCCAAGAGCAACTCACACACACATGGAAACAACATATTTCGTTTTTTTACTCTTGTAATTACAAAATGTTTCCTTCAAGGAGATGGACTACAGATTATTGACTGTGACACATACGAACTGCTGCAACCTCCATCTGCTGGTAAACTGTAAATAAAGATTTCTTTTATACTAATTGATTCTTAGATGGTCTGTCACCTTTTTCAAAATGACTATTTTTTTTTAAAATCTGTGAGTGAGTTTATTCTTGTTTTCTTCCAACCAGAAAATACCCTTGCAACTGTTAAGTTGATCTTATAAATGTTTATTTGGTTTCATTTTGTTGCATTTTCACAAAAGGTTTTAAAGTACTAAGTACTGTTGTTTTTGTATTTCACACGGCTTTGTGAACATTTTTACAACTGTACATTTTCAAATAACATTAAATGTGAGCATAAATTAATGCATGGTTTCAAAAAGTCCAGTAAATCAAGTACTGACATGTCTGTTCATGTCATAGGGAATAGCTTAGATTGACTACACACACATCCGAGAAGTGACCTTTAAAACAACAGAGCAGTCTGCAACATGTCTTCTCAGCAACATAAGTAGAACATTTGAAGTTCAGATATTGAATAAATCCTTAGGTAAGTATTTAGAAAATTAAATAATAGTTTTTCCCAGCTGCCAGCATGTCTTACGCAATGGTTCTATAGTTGCTTACATGGCAGCAAGCCAAAATGTGGATGCTCAGGAGACAAGATTGAATTAAGGCTGAAGAAGAAGCTTTGTGTGTGACACAAGCTTCCCAATGACAGTGGTAATGGTTGTCACAGGACTGGAGGGAACACTGCCAGTGATTCATATATTCTTAATGTATGCATGGAAGGCAGACTTAGTACTGTCGTATATGCTTGTAGCCTTAAAAAAGTACAGCAATGATGTACAATATTAAAGTAAAACATTGTATAAGTACCACAAAGTTTTATAGGGACAATCCGGTTGGACATATTCGATTTGAATTGTAAAATATATGTTTTTGAAAGCCAGCACCAGTACTTTAATACCGCAGCTGCCCAAATACTTAAAATAATTCAGAATTCTCTTGTCAGGGTATAAAAGTGTCTGAAACATTATTTTTTACTATAATCTGTCCCAGATTTATTAAAGTATGTGCCTCTGACATGATGCATTTTAAGTGGCCTGCTGTTGGTTATTTGCCCACATGCCCACCATGGGGAATGGTCAGAGTAAGTCATCAAACAACATTATCTTTCCACTGGTGTCAGCAGGTTTGATAAAACCCTAAATGAATATCATGTTCAGATTGTGACAATCGTGGTATAGTAACTGCAACTGTAATCTGCATTAAATTGTAAAACAAGAGATAACATAGATGATTGCACATTATTTGAGCTATACTGGAGCAGGCTTGTACTCCGATGCTATGATACCACAGATTGTATTTACTATTTTTAAAAACGATTTCATTATGACATCTTGTGTGTCTAATATTAGGACTGTAGTTGGTCTGTTTTTGATTTACAAAAAAATGTAAAGAAAGGACACAACACATTTTTCCCAAGCTTATCCCAGTTTTCTTTTTTTTCTTTTAGAATTTTCCTTATAGCAGTTAATGATTTAGATGTATTTGTACGGTGAAAATGTGTTTTTAATAGTTTTTTTTCCATATAGCCTACAAACACAATGACTTAAATATAGTCGCATTTTACCAACAGGATCAGGTTCCTACAGCATCATTATCTAAAAGAAAAACTTGGTAAAAACCACAGTGTCGAAATTGTATTATAATAATAAATGCTAATCCATCTAAAAGCAACAATGAATCTGTGTGCGAATTAAACCGAAGCAGAGTGGGGCTTCCCTGCTTGGGACTGTTCCAAAGTGTAAGTGAAACCACCGGAAGTGATGTAGTTTGGGCTAAACTGCGCAGAAGCATTGCTGCTCGTTTGCAAATACCTGTGTAATGTTTGCACGGTGGGACTGGCGCTTCAAGCATTACCTGCTCAGGTAACAGGCTCTTTGCACACTCACTTCAGAGTTATGTAGAACAACACGCACTCTGATTTAAAGTGTTTTTCAAACTGTCCGGAGAAAGGCACAGAGACAGAGGCTCTAATTGGAAGCACTGCACTCGGAATTATGTCAGTTTTGGTGTGTTGTAGACAAACTAGAATGGACATGTATCTTCAAGCATAACAATAATATTATAGCTGCCAAATACGATGGATTATCGACGGAAGAAGAAGCTGACATTCTTCACCATTGGGCTCATATTTCTACTTAGCGGTGTGGAATATGGTAAGATCTGTTTTGTGTTGTTATTGTTTCTTTTGCCTGTGTTGCAACACTGACATTGACCATTGAATTGAATGGGACACTAAAATATGACAGTACAATCACTATGTAGTGTTCCCATAATCACCTAAATGATTGAATAAGAGGCTACTATTCATGTTCACTCTATGTTTTTTGGTGGAACATGGTGTACTGGAAGTTATTGGTTTGGCATGTTGAGTGTGTATTTCTCCTATTGATGAGGTATTTTGACTCAACCATTATGTGATTTGATCAGGGAAAGGATACTTAGGCAAGGTTTTGAGTAGTCAGGAGTAATACAAAGGACTGTAGTGTACACTTTACTTATTTAACTATTTCATTGTTTGGTCATTTGATTACATTTACCTTTGTCATATGTCTTACAGCTGTCACCTCACTGGCTTTGTTACTTAGAAACGTATTCATTAACTCAAAAATGTAATAAATAACAGTGATACTCTCACCTGAATCCACCAGTCCATATTTTACTCAAATATGGGTGAGGTTGGCACAGAGGTTGGCACAGAGGCCACCTTACAAGGAAGTATATAATGCATACAAAAGAACAGCAAATTCAACCACACCCTTTAAAAACTTTCCAAGGAATTAAAGCATAGCTCTCTTGATAAGATTCATAAAGATATTATTGAGTATATGACTGTTATCTTACAATGCAGTGAATTTGTTGTTGTCATAGTCACTTACTGATGTTCTAAAAGCTGTGACAAAAAGCAAGGCTCAATTAGTTTTATCACTTTTGCATGGTCACAGATGCCAAGACAATTTAAGCAATAATTTCCTCTGGTTTTTCCAGAAAGCACACTTTACCATGTGTCTTCTGACCTAAGAATGACATTGGGACTGTATTTGGTAAGCACTATTCTCTGTCTAGATGATTAATGATTATGCTTGAGGTATTGACAGGGAGAAATTGTTACCACTGCTTGCTCTCTTGGCATTACTATCACTGATATGAAAAAGATTTAAAGTTCACCTCTCCAACTCCTCTGATAAATATCTCCATAGGGCTCATGGGAGTCACAGGTTTGCAATAAACATTGTTAAGATGCCTCTTAAATGCATCCCAACAGAGCTACAGTGTGCTCATTTAAATCCTCATATACCTAATTATGACTCAGCAACACTGTGTTAGGCAGTTTAAGTTAAAAAGAACTGGAAAACAATGTTCACTTTCCATGTGTTAACTTTTACATTTAGTTTTTTAAATCAAACACTGTAACTTCAAAAGAAAGTGTATATCAGATGAAAACTGTTCCTTCTGTCTCCCCAGCTGTAATACTGCCCACAATATGGAGGTACTTGCAGACTTTAGAAGCAGCACCTTACTTTCTGGGTTTGGCGCTGTCAGCATTCAGCTTGACCGGCCTCCTCACAGGACCACTGTTTGGCTACTGGTCCGACAAAACACGGACCACTAAGAAGATCATCTTGTTTGCCAATCTTTTTGAGATGATTGGTGAGTCCACTTATTTTATTGTATTTCCACCACTTCCACCATTTCTACCTTGAAACAACAAACTTCATTCACTATTAGTTTTGTGGTATTAGTGTAAAGTATATGACTCACTTCATTTTTCTTCTCCTTTCTGCTCTCCAGGTAATTTTATGTACTTTATGGGATATTCCAAGTGGCTCTTACTGTCAAGCAGACTGGTGGCAGGTGAGTCCGCTCAAAGACACTGACTTATTATCCATTCCAGGTGTCAAGCTAAGCTAGTAGAATAGACTTAACCAGAGTAGCTGAAAAGGTACATTATGTAAAGGTATACATTTGAGCCTGTACATACTATGATGCATCATCCTTTTGGTTTTTTAACAGATACTGTTCATTATCTTTTAAATGTGACACATGTTTAACTTGAAAATGATTATCGGTAATATCGTGTGGTTGACCATCTAAAAATATCCCAAAGCTTAACAAATATTTGTTTATTTAAATGGGATTTAGAGGTTGATATATAAATAATGGTAATATTATTGTAGTTTTTTGAAGATAATAAGACGTGATGCAACAATATATGTCCAGAGCTCCAGGTTTAACCTCAATTTGTTGAAATTTTCCTCAGGTATCGGAACAGGTTCTGGCTCATCTATCTTTGGTTTACTGACCAGAATCACCGCCCCCGAGGACCGCGCCACTGCTTTTGCTGCAGTCATGGCATGTCGACAAGCTGGCCTTCTGATTGGTCAGTGCTCCACTGCTTTCTGGTGGCATATTCATTTGGCCAGTAACAGCGCAGTATTATTTTATTGGCTTAAGAATGTATGCAACATAAAAAAAGCATGTTTATAAATGGCACTATAGGCCGCCAGTCATAGAAGAGTTTAATGTTGGTACAAATATTGAAGTAGGCCGTTGATCCCTGCTCCTTATAAAGCAGGGGTGTCAAACTCAATTTAATCGCGGGCCACATCAGCATTATGGCTGCACTCAAAGGGCCGGTTGTAACTTTAAGACTATATAAAAATACATATATAAATATATATATAAAATAATGTATTATATTACATTATTGCCTCTGCATTGGATTATTATCAGATAGGGTAATAACTTCATAATTAACTACGTCTGAAAGCAGAAGTCTGGGGCAAATAATTGCAAGTCTCTTCAGTGAGAATGTCACAAAATGATATAAAAAGAAAAGCCAAATTCTGGAAAAAAAGTCAAAATCAAAAAAAGAGGTGACGTTTAAAAAAAGGAAGTGACATTTAAAAAAAAATAAGTGACATGCGGTGCGGTGCCCCCACAAATAGAATCAAATTCTGTGGGAAACACTGATCAAATTCTGAGAAAAGGGCACATTCTAAGAAAAAAGGCATATTTAGAAGAAAAAAAGTGAAATTCTGAGAAAAAAGTCTAATTTGAGATGCATTGTGGGACATGTAGTTTATGGGCAACGTGCTTCTGTAAATCATCATGTAACCGTATAATAAACATATAATATCCTTTGCAACCTCTTGTGGGGCCACAGAAAATCAAGTCACGGGCCGGATTTGGCCCCCGGGCTGGATTTGGCCCCCGGGCCTTGAGTTTGACACCCCTGTTATAAAGGGTCCCTAGGCCTGAAAATCAGTGAAGACTCATGTTTTTCTAATGTTTGGGTGTGTACACCAAGGCAAATTCCTTGTATGTCTAAACCTACTTGGCAATAAACCTGTTTCTGATATCTGATTATGACATGATGCATGTTTAACCTTGTGTTTGACAGGTCCAGCATTTAACATCTTCCTGAGGTTGTGTGATTTCCAACTGGGTCCTTTTTCTGTCAATAAATATACAGCGCCAGGGGTAAGGGTCCACATTAAGCTATAACTCTGCACTTTTTTTTAACCCCCTCAAAGAGAAGTTGTAATGCTCTTCTTCCACCTTCTGCAGCTGTTCATGTGTCTGCTGTGGACTCTCATTCAACTGGCGGTAATCTTCATGTACTGGGACCTACCTCCTCTGGAGAAAGAGAAGGCCAAAGACAGATTAAGAGGCCAGAGCAAGGACGAGGAGGACGAGCAAGGGCTTGTGGAAGAGGACAATGATGAGGAAAAGCCGCTAATGGGTTCCCAGGAGATAGGGGGGTCCTACGGCTCAGTGGTAGCGTCCAACACAGCCATGTCAGACCCTTCTGCTACCTCAAATGCTACGCTGAATCACATCTCTCCACCTCTCTCTCCAGAGCCACCAGAGTCCCATGAGTCTTCCAGCCCCTCTAAGTTCTCTAGCATATCTCGAGGTGGGTGACTGACAGGGTCTCTTTCTCTCAGGGGTTCTTAAAAAGCTGGAAGACACATTCTCTAAATGTAATGTCTTTCTCCCTCTCTGTAGAGTTCCTGAGAGAAGAGGTGGTTGTGCTGCTGGCTGCTCAGTTCATCACTCTCTTCAATCAGACGGCACTGGAGGTAGAGTAAAGATATACAGACTGTAACACTCACATAGATATTAAATGATTGAACAAAAAAGTTATCTTTATGTTCCTTACAGTAGGGATCACTTAACTAAAACTAGTGGAGTATCTGTGAAGCCAGGAGATGGCAGACATTTTTACTCGGCAAGAGAAAACTGGACGAAATACCTTTTTTATATGGGGATTTATGCACTGTGCAAACGTCTCGATACATTTCTTTCTCAGACCATGGTGACCCCGATGACCCAGAAGTACTTTGGCTATGGGGAGCTGGAGAACAGCTTGATGTACTGCCTCTGCGGGGTGGAGGTGATCGTTGCCTTCCTGTTAGTGCGCTGGCTGAGCCAGCGTGTTACTGAGCGAGTTATCCTTGTCATCGGACTGACGATCTGCAACATCTCTGCTGTCTGGTGCTTAATCTTCCTGGCAAACCCACTAGGTCAGAATGCATTGGAAAAACAGCTTACATCATTTTGTACACATAGGTCAACTAGAACTGATGCTGCCACAAAATCCTGATCCCCCACCAACATTTTGTTTAATACATATTTATATGAATCATTTGTTATATTCAAAACATTCTCACAATTGGTAACTCAGTCATATCCAACAGATCTAAATTATATTACACAATCAAACATTTTAAATCATCATGATGCCTATTCACTCAGTGTTTTTTTTTCTTTCTATTTCACTTTTTTCTGAAGGTGTTTTCCCATTGCAGCTGACTGAATTCGTCATTGGAGTGTTTCTGCAGGTTTTGGGTTTGCCATTTGTAGCTGTGGCTCAGGTTTCCCTCTTTTCCAAAATCACTTCTGAGAAAACACAAGGTGAGAAACTGCATCATCTAGTGGAACATAAACAGCATTGCATATTGGAAAATACGTTCTACACCTTTCATTGTTTGGTGGGTCGATGCAATAGACTAAGGTTGATTCTCTGTGTCTCGCTTGTATTGCAGGTTTCAATCAGGGCGTGCGCCGCTCAGTGGGGGGTCTAGCTACCATCCTGGGTCCTCTGTGGGCTGGGGGCCTCACAGACAACATGTATATCATGATGGGGGTGATGATGGGACTGCTGGCACTGCTTACGGTATGTCAAAAGAAACTCAAAGATGTAGTATGTGGTTGTCGGATGGACATTATGGCTGCAAGGGAGTTGGGGTGTTTAAGGTGTGTTCTAACTGCATTGTATGTGGATTTTAAAGGTCCAATGACATGGCCATTTCTACTGATCATTCTTCCATTGTTGAGGTCTACTAGAATACATTTACATTGTGCAATTTTCCAAACTCACATTGGTTTCTCATACAGCATCTCTGTATAGTATGTGTATTCACTCTCTGTCCTAAACGGCTTGTTGGAGCTCCTGCCCCCCCCCCCTCCCTATGAGCCCACTGTGCTCTGATTGGTCAGCTCGCCCACTCTGTTCTGATGAGTACACCACCGTTACAGCGGAACATCAGTGATTATGTGTTACAATGGCGTTAGCAACCAGAAAATGACACCAGTAATGACAAACAGATGAGAATGCTGCGTGGGGTCTGGGTGCCGTGTTGGCGGGACGTTGCGAGGCTCGCTGCTGCGAGGAGCGGACAGTGTGAGCTGGGTTGCTGGTGTGGTTTCCGGGTCGGCGAGACAGCGAGACACAGCGAAACCCAGCCCGAAACCAGCCCGAGCACACACAAACACCCGCAGCCTGGCTGTGAGTCTGTGTGTGTGCTTATACACAGACTCACAGCCTCGCCGCGTCCCGCCGTCTCAGGCTGAGAAATCTGCGGAGCTGCAGCTGAGAAAAGATTGAGTGTGTGTGTGTGAGGAATTTTCGAGATTTGAACGTAACGGCTCCGCGGACGTAACGTAACGGCTCCTCGGATTGGTCCATGGGGTAATCGTTACTTCACGAGGTTCCCGGAAGAAACAAATGGAAAAAGAAAAATCTCCAATGAGGCGTTTTGGGGCAGCATAGACAGGTCTTTTCTGTGTTAGAGTTTTACTCGCTACAGGGTGTACTTTGAGGGTTTTTGACTCTGCAGACCGTTTACATGCATAAAAAGCTACACAAAAAGGGGATGGGTAATAACCAGTGCATACTACAATGCATACTACATTAGCAAGAATTTCTGATTATGGGGCATGAGCTTGCTGGACATGCTTGACCTCTCCCAAAATGCATTGATTTTCTTCAGAATGATGAGATTTAGGCCCAATTACTACCGACCCCTACACCCTACCCCTTCACACTACCACTCTGTTCGCGCGGAGGGTCCCCCACATTATGTTTTTCCATTCCAATCCAGGGGGAGTGGGTTATCAAGCCCTTCACCAGCGTGTCTGCATTGGTCCTGACTCAACCACCTGCACTACCTGACCGACACAACGCTGTTTGTGTCGGTCATGCTGTTTACAAACAGTGCAAACATTAACTAGTAAACTTACTAGACATTTCATATCGTCATACATTAGCATCTTCATGGTTGCCTCGTATTTGTATGACTTAGGATCATCTACTTGTGTCTTGAAAACGGTAATCATGTGCATTTGATTGTAAAGTTTTGTATATTTACAGGGACTGTTGCAAAAACCAAGCAGCTTATAAACATCAGATACAAAAAAAAAGATGTTTACAAAAAAAGAAACGGCATTAAATGTTTTTGGAGTTTTATTTCAGTTATTTGTTAAACACATTTTTGTCCAAGAAATACTGATTTGCAACCGTTGTAACGGAAAGTTACGGATTTTCCTGTTTCTGCCGGAGATAGGGGAGTTTGTCCCAAAGCTTGCCTCTGTATTTTCATCCTGCACCTTGAAGCAGAGAGCCTCGTTTAGCTGTGAGTGTCACTACAGATGGAGTTAACTAATACTTCATGTGCATAAGACACAGCACTTGCAATGGTTAAAAAGATTTGTGTAAATGTGAGTCTCATTTCTGTTGAAGGAAAAAATTGCGCAGAGGGTGTCTTTTGCATTGAGAATACAATTAGAATAGATCAGAAACAAACAAACCACAGAGAAAATGTTTTACAGTTAGGAACAGGAGATGTGAGTTGACATCTTATAGCCAGCAGCTCCTCTTCTGTTAAGAAGTGTGGGCGAACCACGGCCCAACAACTAAATGTTCCACTATCCTTAAGAAAGAACAAAATAAAACTTGAATATGAGCCTGTTTGAAAATAACTTGGTGTAGGCACTGTTAAACCAGGAGGATAAGAGGAATCTAACTTTCACCTTACATTTGGTTTAACAGGAAGCCTCTTTGATAGCCTCATTTTTTCTGTCTTTCATTATTTGTCATTGTAAAGGACAGGCTATTTTTTGTCTGACGGCTCTGAAGCAGGGTTTCTGGGGTTTTCCCAATCAGTCAATTTTCAGGATTCACTTTGCAACTGAGTGGAGAAAAGTGCTTTGTGCCAACAACAATTATTTGCTCAGGCTTTTTGATGTTTATTCTAATGTATTTTGTCAGATGCATAAGGAAATCCTTTTTGAGGAAACCATAACATTTGTATTTCTCATTGGATGTTATTACTGAGAGAGATCTAAAAGAAAGAAAGAAGGAAATCCAACAATTGCTTTGCCACTCAGAGCTTCCTTGCTGTACATTTTCTCCCTTTTTCTTCCTTTTGTCTTTTTTGTTTAAATCAAATATATTATAATAAAATATTTTTTTCTGTACAGGTTACGCTGGCTTTCTCATACGACCGGTTGCTTCCACCTGCTGTAGAGGAGCAAATGGATGACTCGGACAACGTTGGCTAAACCAGCAGAAGGCAGATGGGATAAACGTGGATATAAAAGGTAGCTTTTAATACTAATATGAAAAGAGACATTGCATTACATAGATTTATCCAAATTGACTTACAAGAGAATTGAATGGTATTAATGCAAGACCATTTTCGTTCTTGAATGCATACATAATATGAGTAGCTATAACGATAAATTGATCTATGTTATTGTTTTGCAATGTGTACTTCACTCTTATCAGATAGCAGCCTTGTCTACCACCTTACTGCCCCTCACCCTGCATTTATTTCCTTTCTGCCTGTGTACAGTGGGAGATTCCCTGTCCTGCACTTAACAGTCCATCCAATGTTTCACTTTCTGCACTGGGACCAGCAAGCAGGGTGACGACACACACACACACACACACACACACACACCTCATCACCTCCTGAGGGCTAACCTAACACTTGGACTTTGCGTGCAGAGGCTGATCAAAGCACTCATATGGTGCATGTATACATTTCCCATGGAAATATGGAGTCCTGCTGACACAGTGTGTGCAAGCTTTGGATTAATGGTTTCCGTGTTTTTGTTCTGCACTGAGTACCATCTCTCACATTCTGATATCAATGAACATGCCAAATCGTAAGCTGTTGTAGCTGTCCATGAGCTGTAGGAGTGTAAATGAGCTGTTTAACCTTAACACTTGTTCTTTAACTTAATTAACCAGCTCCCTGAAGAGCTGGGTTGGTGAAACTACCAAAAGCTTGGCGTCAGGGTTGTTTTTGACGGTTAGAAAATCAGGCTTTATTGTAGTAAAATATTCAAAATTAAGACCAAGACATTACTTTGCCCATAAACCCAAAGTATTTCAACCTTGACAAAATATCATTTAAATCCACTTCATTCCATTTACATCTGATATAGGAAGCTTTCTCCTTGAACAGCAAAATATTTACAGAAACGATTATTTTTGTTTTAAATGTAAATTTGTGTGTTTTTAGAAATTAATACTTTTATTCTTGCCTCTACTATTGATGCAATATGTTTGGTCACTAAAATAACTACTAACACTAACACAAAATATTAAATAAATGTATTTAAACGGTTTTTCATGCCATGGTGAATCAGAAATCTTTATTTGAAACATTACTTTAAATACCAGTAATACACTTTCTAAGGGAAACACTAAATACTATTGAGGTCTGTCAAACCCTGATTGAAGGTTGTTAATTGAAGATCTAATATTCCTGCTGTGAGGGCGAAGAAAGGATAAAATACATTTCCTGCTTTGAAAAAACAGAGCAGTACCATTGTGTAACACTAGTGGGAGCTCTTAGTCTACTGAAGTATATCCCTGTTGTTACTGCTGAGCCTTATGATCGCAGTCTGTACATAACTCCATACATAACTCCATACAGTGCACTGTCACAAATACACATCTAGGGAAAAACAGCTGGGGTGGGAACTTTGTTGTAGAAAAACAGCCTTTCACGGTTTTAGGTGGCAGTACAGAAAACAGACACTAATAAATCCAATAATATTAAGGCTTTACATTTTGTGGTGTACCTCTTTATAATTTGTTCAGGTTTTTTTTTTTACACAAACACAAACAACTTTATGAATTATGAGACTGTTTATTTATTATTTATTATGCATCTATTTATTAGATATGTTATGAGCCCCTACAAGAACAACTTTTTTTTATGTGTTACTTGTGTTACAAGTAAAATAAATATTCACTATACTCTATTGGCTTGTGTTTTGTTATTCTCTAGAGTGAAATGAGTGCATGTGTAGAGTAAAATACGTTTTTAAAATATAATTATAATTTTATCAAACATTAAAACAATTGTTTAACATGAATTCTTAATTGTATGCCTTTTTTGTTTGACAGTTACATATTAAAGAGAACCTATATAAAACAGAAGAACAATTTAGGATGTAAGCCATTTTCTTAAAGTGGGATTTAAAAAATATAGTTTCGTTTTTGTAGTCTTTTTTTTTTAAAGGATACAAATGTTTTTATTGTAAAAATTAATAACTTAATATTTTTTTAAATATGTAGTGACACTTTCATCAGGGTTAGTAGAGAGCTTACACCTGCAGTCAAATAATCAACATATTTTGTTTTGAATTACTAATTATAATTATATTTGTATTATTAAAAGGAACAAATATTGACAATGAAAATTATATTAAAATAAAAATAATACCCGTCTCAAATTTGATATAAAACTAAGACAACTAAAGTCGTAATAGTAGGGTAATGTCACAAATAAAAATGTAAGACGTTTTTATGAAAATGTATCTTCCTAATACATGAAATTGCATGTAACACTATATTTAATTTCAATTGAGTAGAATCATTTTATATAGAAAAGATAATTTTCAAAGTAATTAAATATGATCACTGTGTAAATAAATACAAGACTATACATGAACTGTGTACTTAAAATAAAATAATTAAAATATTCTAAAAACGAAATGATGTTTACCTTTTATTTATTTTGTCTTCTTAATGAATCGAGGATACAGAATTAATTACACATTTAAAATGTTTTCAAATTCATTTTAAATTCAGAATTGCAAATCACACATTTTTGTGAATTGTTATTTATAAATGGCATGCTGCATTATCTATTGAAAATGAATTATTGGAAATTGTATTTAACTTTTTGGAAATTATAAATAATAAATTATCATAAAATATGAGATTCAAATTTAGAAAAAAAACTAATTGTTGATAAAAAAGGAATTTAGTATCATAGACCTTCTTAGTTTTCAGATGATTTTAGACCACAAACATGTTTAACAAAAGTGAAACGGAGCACATTTCTAAACCTGGAGTTGTTAACACAGTGTGAAAACGTGGGGACCCGGCCCCACTGGGGGTCGCTGCAGCCTCGCCGGCAGAGCCAGAAACTGGGAGAGTTGGGGTCTTTCTCACCTGTGACGTCGCGCCGTCTGTCTGCTGACGCCATGGCGAGGGGGCGTGGCCTCGGACTTGAACTCTATGTGAACCTGTTTTGATGTTGGGCGGGCTCAGAAATGTTACGACACAGGGCCAGTAACAGAGATATTTTGGGGTTTCACAATTTGTTTTATTAAACTGGGCCAACACACACACACACACACACACACACACACACACACACACACACACACACACACACACAGCCTATAGCGGTAGTCTGACCGAACAACGACCCTGCCTATCAGGGTCAGAAGCGCAGAACACGTCGTGTGTCATATCAGCAGTGGTTGTCGGGGTAAGTTTGGTAAGCTCACTCCTCCTCCTTCCCTGCCAAATGTTACGAGGCATATACAGCCAAATTCAAAGATGATAATAGACGTGAACCTTTGATGAACTGTGTTTTTCTGGCGAAAGAGGGCAGCAAGGGCAGGTGGAGTTCACTGGGTCTTAAACTTATTTTTTCCCCCCAATCTCATTCCCCAGGCTTGATCACTGATTGACCCGGACAAACTGGGTTGGGGTATTGTAAGGATGCGCTCGGATTATGCACTATAACACTGGGGCTTGTTGAATATTGCAGATCAGCCGAACATACATATTTTACTCGTGGAAGTGTGGACATAGCCACACTGCAGCATCACCACTTTTACCACTTTTTTTCTTGCACTTTACATGACATTCTCTCTGTTCAAGGGACAACTTAGAAGTTCAAGAATAACACCTCTAACTTGGTCATTATAAGACTTTCATGATGCTAGTTGTGATGGGTAATAAATGGATAGGTGTGCTCCCAAGCCTGAACTTCGAAGCTTTTGAGTTGCCGCGTGTATGAAATATTTAGTTTGTTTAATGGTGTCAGGGATTCTTCTTTTTGCGGAAAAACTGCTCGAGCCACAGCCAAATCAAAATGGTGGCACCGACAGAAACCTGTGAAAGTCTGCGAGTGTCCGTTTGTAGCAAGCACTTGAATCTTGTGTTAATAATACATGTGTCACTCCGAAGAGGTGCTACATCTGGAGAGCAAGATGTTTACGGGGAAAAAGGGAAAAGAAGAGTGCTTGAGTTGGGATATAACGGGCGAAAATGGAGGCGCTGGGACAGGAAGTGATCCATAACAAAAGGTAAAATACAATCTACTGTAAGAAATGGAAGTCAGACCTCCATTTCGGTCACCCAAGGCTGTGTGACACGCAGAGTATTTTTTCTCCGTGCCTCCTTTCGGGTTGTGTAATGCTTCTTTTTCTGTCTGGATGAATAATTAAGCAAAGCCTATGGCCGGGGCACCCTAGGCTGTGTTGCTCAGGCTAGCCAGCTGCTATTATAGCGTTCTGTTTTGCCAAATCTGGAATGCTTCAGTTATTTCCAGCACTGGAGGTTTCCTTGCACAACGTTCTACATCTCTTTGATCTTAAAACATCATAAACTGGATTATTCTGATGGTCTTATTGAACCTTGACTTTTTGCTAGTTCTGTTACAAGTTTTGACCCTTGTGTTTAATTAGAGTAAAGCAGCACATGAGGGATTAAAGGAAACTTTAGTCACATTGGACACCTTTTCAAACTCTTTATATCGGCCGTTGTAAAAATTCTGTGAAAGGAATACTAATGTCTTCTTGTCATTGTAGCACTATTCTAATGTCCTTAATGTCTGTCTGATGCATCTCAGTAAATCTTCAATTCCTCAGATAATAAAAATTGTTTTGAAGATAGCTGTTCTAAAGGTATCAAATGTGTTTGTTGAGTAAATATTGGTGTATGGTGGAAACATAAATGTTCAATGTTACAGCCAAACATACATTATATCTAGCAGTATTTAATTTGAGTTAGGAAACTAGCATTTAATTATTCCTGAAAAACAGGGTTTTATCTCTTATTCAAAGTTAAACCATTCCTCTGCCGGCCTGCTTCCAGGAAATGTCTACTCATTAAACTCCAATCTCCTGATTTCATGACAGACCTCCTGTGTGTCTGCTTTAATTGTGTTCTCACAATTAAACACCCGGCATTACCCACCCAAGCAGCCACGATGTGCCTCTAACCCCACCCGTCCCCTTTGCTCCACGAACACAGATTACTAGCCCATCTGTATCACCAGAGCTAGGCCACGCTAAGCCGATGGGAGCCCTGCTCAGCAAGGCACCGCCGCAATTGTTAACCCTGATTAACTTGATGTGGCGTTCAGTAGTGGGAACAGTGTGAAAATCAAGCCAGTGCCGTGACCCAGTGCCCTGCCGCTGAACCGAGAGGGAATCGGGCAAACCTGGGGAGGGTGGAGGAGAACGGGAGCCAGGAAAAAAGAAAGAAGGAAGGAAAACAGAGAGATGGCCGAGAGATTAACGCAGCATTAAGGACTGCAGAGGAGGAACAGATATATGCACATAAATATATTTCTCTGTTTCAGTGCAGTAGAAGCTTGGTGTCACTTCAATATAGACTCCAGCAATAAAACATAAATCAATATGACTTTCAGTGCCCCCACAATGGGCTTCTGTGGAACAGAGGACATCAACGATTCAGTTGTAATTACTACAGTGAGATTATCATTGCACAGAGAAGAGGATCTAGACGTTAGCTATGATCTGGAGCATAGTTTAGAGATGGGTACACATAGAAAAGGCATACATGGTTCTTTTTTCTCTATAAATTAGGATTTTATTCATGTCCTCAAGGCACAACATATACGCACTTGTTCTTTGTTTTGTAACATGATAAGAAATTAAAATGTAGTTTTTTTCGTGTAAAACAACATAATACTCATGACTGACTTACTTATTCTGGCAGATTGGTATAAGCAGCAGTAAATAATTAAATAAAATTGTCGTATAACATTTGAACATTTTTTAAGAGCATGGACTCGATGTGACAGTAATGAATTAAATCAGTGCTGTGCCATGGATAATTCTGCATTATGTGCTTTCAGCATGGCCTTTGTATGATTCCGCACTCATGAGCCTGAAATTGTTACTGTTTGCACAACATGCATTTGCAAAGCTAGATTTGTACCTAGAAATGTGTCACTGCCAATGACTCAGGTCACGCTAGAACAAATGTCAACAGTTTTGCCGACTTTAATATTTGGGTTATGACATTTTGCTGTATCAAGTTGGCAGGAAACCATCAGACATGTTGCCTCACAGGATTTGATGTGGTGTGTACAATTCCAACCTAATGGAGAAATACTGAAAATAATATATAAGCCTAATGTGTTAATACACAAAACATGCCTATTTCTCAGCACATGGGTATATATTTAATTCCTAAATCCAGTTAAGGGCTAAAGCAGATATGTATCTAATGTATTTACCTCTACATTTAAGTTTCCAACAAAATGCAGTTACAGGCCCATTTTGCTACATAAGAAGAAAAAAGGCAAAACTAGTTTTCATGGTGGTTACAAGTAAATAATAATAAAATGAATGTGCTAAATACAGCCATTTGTTTAAGTACCCCCGCATCTCCAGAGTAATACGACTGAGCGACTTGTAGACATGTTCTCCCTGATTACTCCCTGTTGCTATACGTTAACCATTCGATGAAGCATAAGATTATTAGTGACACTGAGAGGGACAAATACTTTATGTAAATTATTGAGGGTGACATGTCTACCAGTCTCCCAATGAAATTACACCTTCGAATGTAGACACTGTTATAGCTAATAGGGAAGGAATTCCTTTTCACCATTTCTATTTAAAAATGAAAGGCCCAATTT